GGTGGTGACGATTCCAGCAGGTACATCAATGGACACGGGAGTTTTATCTCCACTCGTAACAACTAGAGTTGCTGGCTGTGTAAGGAGAGTGGTGACGAATACATCATCAGCGAGCATTTCACGTCCATTTGGAGGGCCAAGAGTATCATTCGTGCAGGTAATGCCTTTGGGAGTTGGTCGATACCAATATACAAGCTGATCTTCTGTAACAGTTGGTGTACTTGCTCCAGTTTTATAAGCAGCGATATATGGTTTCGAAATTATACGCCAACCATCGTGAGGAAAGCCGTCAGCCCACTGTGACGAACCATCATCTTTATGATTTGGCTCCGCTGGAGAGATGTAGTGAGACTCGCCAAAATCTAGAATGTTCGTGAGCTTAATTTGACTTTTATGCAACGTCATACTTACCATTCCAAGATATAATTTCAATAAGTGCGGGCTGCATAGCTAACATTTGATTCCATCGATCGGTAATGAGCTCTTCGCTTATGAATACCCAGTTCTTAGAGTTAAAATGTGTGGAGAACCATGGAGAAAGAGCTAAATAAAAGTTAACAATAATTCCTGCTCCGGAAATCATGGATTACTTACGAGCCATATATGGCTTTCCCTTGAGATATGTAAGAAATTTATCATCCCATGAGGTTGACATTGGACCTGGGATAATACTATTTCCACCATCCGTAGGCCACGCTAACCAAGAAAAAGCACCATCAAATGATGTAGTTAGATAACTCGCTTCGATAGGATCTTGCATCATAGGAATGGCGAAAATTGAGTGATTTGTTCCAGCTTTGACTGGTGCCCAATCAAAATAATCTCCCACAAAGGTACTGACCATAGCTCCTCCGTTATATTGCATTTGGCCAGGGTGAGATGCATATTTATTCATGTAATCTGTGATGTTATTGGTGTTTCCGTTATTCCAATATGCAAAGTCGAATGATATGAAAACATGAAATCCGGTTTCTTCAGCTGCTTGATATGCAAGCGCAAGTTGAGTTGGAGTATAGCTATCGATACTTGCACAATTCAAAGCGAACCCGTCAATACCGATCTCTTGTGCATATGCCATATCCATCTTCCAGTCCGATAGTTTGTAATTCTCGACAATCCCGACCTGTTAAGAAACTGATTAATATGAGTATCAAAAGACTATCGACAAGGATAACTTACCATGAAATGAGCAAATACATATTTAGGGGATGTAGCTCGGCTCACTGTTGGTGCGGAAAAGGATAACCATGGTAAGAATGATATTGCAGCCAAGGCACTGATAAGAGTAGAGTGAAGAATCATTTTGATGTTAAATGTAATATAGATGCGGAAAAAACCAAAAGACACCAGGGACTATGAGAATAAATATATTGGTAGCTAGAGCCATATTTCACCGAGGTAATGAGCCTATATTGTATAAATTACGAAAGATATGTTCGTTGATCTATGTATGACCAAAATTTATTGGAGCTCATTGTGAATGATCACATATTGAACCAGTGAATAATGTGAATGTGGTTTATAACGTATGAGACTTTGCGGATAATGAAGTTGCACCAGGTGTTCACACCCCGCCAAAACCTCAAGCGATTGTATCTAGTTTGTATGGCCTTTAGATTTCGCCTTCTCTTGGAGCGAACTACGACGCAAGACACGAGGAGAATATCATTGAGACATCTAAGATTGAATTTCTTCCTTTCACTGTAGAAACCTAACAAGAGCAGTCATTTCAGATTCGTCATTACCAAACAATTGGCTTTCAAAGTAGCTGATTCATTGTCCTCGTCCCGACTCAACTTAAAGCCTTCCTATATTGAGACATATATGTCGTACTCTATGCGAGAAATTTGACAGGAAGCGGACAAACAGATGACGTAGTACGTACGTTATAACTCCGGCGTTAGAGTGTCATGTTGTGCACCGGGAATTAGTTGTAATGTTCTACGAAAATTATAGGTTTGCAGGAACGACATTTGGCGGACCTGACCTCGATCTATCACTTTATGTAACATCAAGGAATATGCGTGACTAAAGGCTCATGCTCAACATACTTGCAACACTAAATAGCCTATTCTCACTGTTCTAGATGACGAGAACTGGTAGAAAAGTACAGAGATACAACATGAGGAATGAAGACAGTCTATACCCGAGTACTTTCTCGAAGGTCACCTGATCGGTCCGATAGAAAGACTCGGCTGATGATTTCCTATCATTTTGACACCTCTCATGACCAACAATTGTGAGCACTGGCTCATTCAACTTAACAATATCTTAGTATTGGTGGCTATAAGTTGGTGGCTAGACCTTGGTGGCTAGACCTTGGTGGCTAGAAGTTGGTGGCTAGAAAATGGTGGCTAGAACTAACTATCGTGAATGAAAAAGTTTGTTTCTTGCTCAATGACTCTAGAACAAAATGGCGAGAAGCAGATATATAAATAATGATCCGTTGAAGGCACCCATTTCTTGATCCAATCTTCTTCATAGCGACAATTGTATGAAACGGAGCTCTTACCTATCGACACGAGATTAAAAATATACCAAATCAATGTTCCCAATAACAGTTCTAGATACATCCTGTGCACTACCATGGATAAGTAGTTGTTGCTTCTGGAGTGAGGAATTCAAAGAAAATCATCTGATCTCGCGACATTATCATTCTGCCAAAAAAGCGGTCAAGCACCCCTCCTGGACAGTATCATTATCCTCAAAATTCAGCCCCTCAAAGTCCCGTAAATTGAACAAAGATACACGATTCTTTTTTTCGAAAATTCCAGAAAATCACTGAAAATGGCGCCTCCATCTCAACTCGCTATAGCTACATCATCCGTTGCTCGTCTTGTAAAGGAAGAAGCTTCATACCATAAAGAGTTGGTTTCTCAACAGGCACGATTAAAGAAATTAGAAGAAGCTACCGAGGAGGATGAGAACAGAGAGTATTCTTTGAAGCAGGAGGTCAGTGTTTTACGTCTTTGTCCTCTATACCGTTACAATTTGGTGATCAAAAACTAATAATCAAATAGCGTGCCGCAATCGAAGAAACCAAAGCAGTCTTCCCACCACTTCGTGAACGACTTGCAGATGCTATACTTAAGTTGGAGGACTTAGTTCAAAGAGGTGGTGATGAGGCAGAAGAGGCAAAGGCAAATGATGTTATCGACCAAGCAAAGAAGGCTATTGCTGCTGGAAACTAAGGATTGTGGATGACGAAATCATGATTCACGATGAAAATACCCGATTTTGCGAAGCATTTATGAGTGATGTGTGAGGACGAAGGTTATGATGAAATGCACAACTTACAGCGCAAGATAATGCAAATTCATTGAGGGTATCATTCTGATTTGGTATGGTACATTCTATTGTACATAGTATTGAAAGTATTATTGATACCTATGTGGTATCCATCTTATCACCAACTTCTCCCTCATCTACTGATCCTTCTTCTGGTTCATTAATCGTGACTCTTGGTGTTCCTTCTTGTGTTGAATTCACCCCATCCGCCATAGGTGTGTCGGCCGAATGATCCATGTCCACTTGTCTAGCACTTGCATCTGTCATTGCAGAATCTTCCCCTTCTCCCTCTTCTCCTCTACGTTTACGACTTCTAGCCCGTTCTGATCGCGTTGGAGATGCTATTCGACTTGTTGATCTACCTCTTGAGCCAGACCTTGAGCCAGACCTTGAACCGGGCCTTGAACCGGATCTTGATATTGACCCAGAAGGCATAGGTTTGGGTTTAAGTGTATCTCTTTCCGGACTTCCTTGTCTTGGTGTTGCATCGTCACTTGTGCTATTTCGCCTTTGGGGAGTTGGTCCATCACCATCTCCATCTCCAACCTCACCATCTTCCTCCCCTCCGTCCATACCTTCTCGTCTTTCGACCTCTTCTTTCTCGTCTCTGATTAACCTTCTCAATTGCATTCCCTCCTCAACAATTCTACCAAATTGTTCTCTCCTCTCTTTCCATGTTTCACCATATGTTCTGCTTTCTCTTTCTAACTCCTTGCACTCGTCTTCCAATTTCCTCAAATTAATTTCTTGATCCTTTCGTGGTCGCAATAACATATTATTCGTGATCTTCTCGGCCAATTCGTCGAACTTCTTTCTCTGTTCCAATGTAGTCTTCGCCTCTTCCAATTGAATTCTCAACTGAGCGGTACTATCTCTCACCGCTTGTGCTGTTTCCAAAATATGTTCCTTGTCGGCCTTATACCTCTCGCGTTCGCGTTCATTACTATTGCGAAGAAATTGAATGCGCGCGAGACTGCTGTCAAATGCGGCGAAATCGAGAAGTACATCTTCGCGCAATTGACGACGCTCATCAAGAATCTTTTGTTGATCAGCTTCCCCAATCTCTTCGTTGGTATCTAATGGTGGTGTCGGAAGTTTGCTAGGTGTAGTGACGAATCCAGGAGTGAGTAGACGTTTGGTGATACGCTTGAATGGCTTTTCTTCGACATTGAGAAGGCGACATTTATGTAGTTCATCCTCCTCTCTTTGATCTAATAGTTGATAGGAGGCCATATCGAAAGTATGGATTTATTGATTATTGTCTGTTGGTCGTGATATTGATGCGGAACATTTGAAAGCTAAGAATAGTTCTACGAATTTACCACGGCCGCTAGCGCACCATAGTACATATCTAGTCCGGGGTTCCAGATGCTAGCGACCCACTTCACTCAGTGCGGGCTTCATAATCTATAAATTCCCCCAAACTTCTTCTTTGTTCATGATAAAGCATACTATTTACCAATTTTCAAATTTCTACAACAATTTTAATTCATTTTACTTTCAGGAAAGAAACCTAACCTCACGAATTTATCTTTATATTTCTGCCATACCAAAATCTCAATTTAATCAAAGTAAATCCTCTTTCACATCACATAACGCTTAATCTGTCAACCTCTCGAACGGCCAGCCTTTCCAACACTAGGTATACCTCGAGATCCTTGAGTACTCCTTGAGAATATCATACATCCCTACCTGTAACACAAAACGAAACTATGGAAGAACGTAGGGGTGTCAAGTCCTTGTATAGTCTTTGTAAAGCAACCTGTTTGCGGAATATCAAAGGTAGGCTTTGTATATTACTTTACAATTTCATCATTCATCGCTAACATCTTTAAGACTTGTATGATATTGGAATCACATCGTACCAAGTAGCTTACCCTATCCTAAAGACCATCACCAATCCCGAACAACTTCATATAATCGAGCAAAGATCTCCACATATAAAGGGTGAAACTGCGGAGCTCTGGAAAGCATTCATCGTTCGAGACATTCCTAAATGGCAAACAAAGAACTATGTGCCAAGGGACCCAACCAAATGGGCCCAAGTGTACAAAAAATACAAAACTGAGCATGATGAGGAAGTTGCTAGCGCTCAAGCCATTCTGATGAATTCAATGAATGCACTGAAGCAACACAAACAAGATCATGTTAGCAGATTTGTTGATCTCAAACGTTTACCGAAAATTCCAAGGGATTATGGAATGCGCGCACACAATGGAGGTGTTCCTTTGACCAAGGGAAGGGCGCTTCAAAATGCTGGACCTAGTTCCTTAACCTGGGGTGGAGGTAGCAGAACAAAAATGACGGATGGTGCAAGCGTACTTACGAAAGCTCGTCGAGAAGCTAAGGAAATGAGTCAAAGAAGCAAACTCAATACCTTAAGCAGCGGATTAAGACACGGACAAGTACAGAGGGCCCCTGCTGGAATGTCTCAAGAATACAAAATTGCCAACCAGCCTGCATTGAAAATTTTGACGAGACACAGGCCATCGGGTGCCAGAAGTCCCGGCGCTCTCACTTCACCATCCAGTGGTCCTTCCCTTGAGGATCGTGAAAAGAGATTACGCGATGCAATGAGTGGTAGAAAGCCAGTTTCCGGATCTTCGAAGGAACCTATGAGTGGAACTTCAGCAGGAACCCTGACCATGCTAGATGACGATATGTTCGGTGATGATGCAAATGACGTAGACAACCTATTTGATGAAGATGAAGAGACAGAACCAGCCCACCAAGCGTCGACTCGGCTACCGCCATCTCGCAAGATCATGAAATCAGTTGCACCATCAACTCGCATTCGTTCTTCCTCCCCACCAAACAAGGCAACATCGAGACCATCCGCAGCGTCATCTCGACCAGCAGCACCCGGAGCTATGATGCCCGCTCGTAGACGACCAGCTTCTGTCGATATCTTCAATCGTGGACCTAAGAAACCTAGAAGATAGTCAGCCGACACTCTTTGTATATTTTATTATCTCACGTATCGGGTTTTGAATTGGGAAGTGGAACTTTAGAATCGGGGTATGTTTCTATCAGCGTGGCGTTTTGGAGGGCCAAATTACTTCATGGGCTATGGGTAACGATATATCTTGTCACATATTAGAATGGCTCCTGGAATATGGGGATTTTGGGGACTGGATTATTGGTTTGTTAAAATTGAGCGAAGCCTGCAGCTGTTACATGTACCTAGTATATATGATCAGCATTGTAAATGATAATTATCCATACAAAAACTCTTTTATCACAAGTGAGAGTTGTCACATGGATGAACGAATTTCAACAAAATCTCGAGCTGGGTGTGTATGAAGAGTTTATTATTGAGATATGCGCGGTCTATTGAAAATCTAATCCCATATCAGACAGCCAAAATCGAATTCATGCAGGCACGCAGAAAACCGCCCATTGTATAATATTCGGAATTTTTGCGTCATCCATCAATGAAATGCCCAATCATCTGCCCATCAATGTAATCTCATCGTATCGCATCGCATCGCATTGTATCGTATCGTATCGTATCGTGAAAAGGGGGAAAAAAGAGACGTAACCAATGAAAACTTGCTCGAATGCGTAAAAAGTCGTGAAGGAGTTGCGGGGTATTTCGGTAGGCAGCAACGCGGTCGAAAGTTGACAGGAAAAGGACACGGGAGATTTTCAAATGCCGCCGCGGAGTGCGAGAACTAAATGTAGTGTCGCTCCAGGTTCGAGTTCGTAGTCTTTTACTAGCTTGTCGTCGGCCCTGGGGGAAGGTGTTAGTTGGTGGGTAGGGGATGAAGGGGAGGGGAGGGGAGGGGAGAGGTAGGGTAACATGGCACTGAACGTACATTTGCTTGCCGCCATAAATTAAACGCTGTTGAACGGGTGGAATGCCTTCTTTCTCCTCGACCTTTTCCTTAACTCTCTCGATCTGTGATGGGAATGTTAGTTGAGGTTGTAAAGGATGGATATGGAGTTGTTGCGACAAACGTACCTTGTTGTCAGCTTCGACATCGAGCTCGATTTCCTTGCCAGTGAGAGTTCGGACTCTGCGAACTATTAGTATGGAAGCTTCGCAAATATCGAGAGGGTATGAGATAGATATGACAAGACATACTTGATAAGCATTGTTGCGGTGGTAAAGGTTGATTACTTCCGAGGAGGATCTTCTTGATAGGAATAGTTTCCGATGTTCAACAATGGGAACCTGGTATTGTAAGGTTGATTAAATCTTTCGAGACCTAATCCGTGTCTGAGAAACTTTTGTTCTTTAAATAGTTCAAAAGAGTTCAAGGAGAATGCAGAAGATCTTCGTGGAGCGATTTCAATTGGAGGGGGTGTAATGATCAATCTGAATTGAGGATGAGCAGGTGGTGGGGTTGGAGGTGGAAGTGGAAGAGGTGCAGTAATTGGAGGCTGACTGCTCTCTTTAGTAGGCTTGGAACCCATATTGTTGCAGTATCGATGGGGGTTGCTTCGGATTATTGTTGTTCCTAAGCAGAGTTTCTCCGAGGATATCCCAGCCATAAAATGATTCTGGAGTTTCTCAAGCACGTGTCAAGCTCTTTAAACTGCACTAATGAGATCCCTGTCATCAAATCTGATGGTCCAAGCTTCCCTCCATCACTCAGGTAAATCTTACCTTGACATTTCCTCACCATGTCTCATCAGATCACAGACACTCATTCATGTCAATGATCCTCAAAAGAACAATCAAAATGGTAGTTCTCTTATCAACTACTTCAACATTATGTTCCATCATTTGTTGAGGTCCTCAGACGCTCTGAACATTGTATCTTTGTAGCTCTGTTAAGAGTTATCAGTGCCTTCCAGCATGCCAAATCCTAGCACCCAGATTTTATATCGATAGACCCAGAAGAAATCATTGATATCAAGTTGGCTCTTCGAAACTTGTTGCAAGATGCCGTTCTTTTCATAGCTGAAATCTCCTGTGTATCTTAGACCAAGTTCTTCGAGAAAAACATCTTGCCTATGCAGAAATCAAGCAATGAAGTTTCATGCTGTTAATATAGTAAAATATTCCTTACCAGAGAAGTGTGAATGACTCGGTCTTGATTGAATACACTATAATTCCAGTGAAGCTACCTCAAAGTCCTCCGTTTCTTTCTATACTTGAAAGAAAAGGTTCTCACTCTCGTATCATTGACTTGGGACTGTCCGTCCTCCTTCACGGCCAGTCCTTCAAAGGATATCTTTATCATGAATGGCTTCTCTTTGTTGTTGTGTTGGCTTTTCAAAATATTTAACAAAGAATTTTCATCATGTACATCCAGGAAGCAAAATTATCAATTCACAAGAAGTTTTAACTCCTCTTAATAACTTCAACATTCTCAGATTCGCCGATAATGGCAACGATAAAGTTTGGACAAGCGACAAACACAATTTTTAATGTTAGTCGGAACAAATATGGAGAAAAGCGAGCTTATGTTCATCCACATGGTTATGCTTCTGCAGCTAGCGGGTGGTCTCCTACTGGCTACCTTCACCCCAGTGGCAGTTTAAACAAGATCGAAGAGGAAAAACGCATCGAGGAATTCCAAAGAACGAAACTCCGCGATTTCACGATACGGGAGCTTGTCGATTTTGATATAGTTAGTGGTAGAATTCTGGAAGAAGCAGATCTTGAATCAATTCCAATTCATCCTATATTCTCACAAAATATGTGGGAGAAACTTGGGCAGAGACAACGAGAATGGCCTCTACAAACGCCCGAATTGATGGAAGGTGGTCATTACATCATGGATAACCCTTATATATTGAAGGAAATGAAGCCAGTTCTCACATTAGCAAGTGCATTTCTTTCTGAAATGCATACTTTACCATTTGTATATCCCCTCTCCCACGACTTGGTCAGGTTGATCTTGTGAAGATAATTGATTGGCTTATTTCTTAGTTAGATGCAATGCTCTTAGGGCCTCGAAAACCGGTGAATTCGTGGAAATCAAAAATTCCGCTTCCGGACGGTCTTTATACATTCTGGCGCAGAGATCAAGAAGCTAGGACGGCAAATGGTTCTGAAGAATGCGAGAAGGCTTTTACTAAACGTTTAAAAGCGCTACACAAAAAAATAATATGGGGGTTTGCCCATGGCAACCGTATGCCATGGGACGACGCTCCTATAAAGACAAATTGTCTTGGTATCACTCACATGGGATGGGATAGTGCTGACAGAGAAGTCATTTGGATTTATTTGGACATCAAGATCTGTGATTTACTATTGAGGAATGACTTGACCTCTGCAGAGAAAGCTGGTGCCCAATATTACTTAGCAATTACTATGATTCATGAACTAACGCATGCAATTGGTTTCGACTTTCGTGACGATCCCAACATCAGGCTTTGCGATGGGTACGAGCCATATTTCGAGAATTCACCTCAGTGCGAACTGGGATTTGAAATGGAAAACAGTGTGTGTATATATACCAACTTGGATAAATATTAAAATGATTGGCTAATCAACATCAGGTTTTTGGTGGTATCATCGAACCAGTCTTCAAAGCACCTGCAGCTCCGCTTGCATATAGGATGGCATCCAGTTATCCCTGTTGGTGTCATGTGAGCTTGCGGAATATGGAAACAATGGTTCTGGAGCTGGCTGAGGAATATAATAATGTGCTATATACTTACTTTATCCCGATTCAAACCTACGAGGATTTGAGAAAATTGAGCTTTTGGGATACTGTTATTCGGCGGGTAAGTTCTACTAGCCACATCTACTCTTATCACCAAATAGATTCAAGACTTTACTAACTTTTACAACTTAAAGTTTGGCTTCTCGGCAATTCATGCTCGGTCAATAAGATATGGGTGGGGAGCGTTGTATTTATCTGACTGGAGTGGCCAAGACGAATACGGTGTTCCCGAATCGGCGTTGATGAAATCATCTAGATTTACGTTCCACGAAGGGAGACAAAAAGCTAAGATTAAAGAATTAGCCGAATTGGTCGAATTGTACCAGGCAAAACAACTTTCACCGTCAAGAAAGACAGCCTTCAAAGTTTTAGATGATATAATGACAAGTGCATCAAAAGAAGAACAGTTCTATGACTTCACTCAGAAGCAAGAAGACAAGCTCTCCGCAATACGTGAAGCTTGCATCGAGCTGCAAAAACCATCAAATGCTGCTGATGCAGGACAACGTGGTGAAGTAGCTTTACTGCTTATCCCAAAGCTCGAGCAAGCAATAGTAGCCCACAAAGAAGCTTTCGTACTCCTAGAAACCTCGGAAGCGTTAAGGCATGGAAAATTTCGAGATCGTCGCGCCACGCTTTTTCGTTGGAATGTCGGTACTCGTAAATTGCTCAATGATATACTTACCGGAGTGGACGAAGCACCAAATAAAGATGAGAATCTCATCGCAACTCTTGAACAACTCGCCCAGTTCCTTGTCCAGCTCGAAGATGTACGGTTGAAAATCTTCCCCCCATTACCTACTTGGACAATCGGACACGAATTTAAGCCCGAGGGAATCGAAGAATTGAAACAATGGCCTGAGAATCTCTTCTCAGGAGAACTTGCAGAATTGGATTTCATGTATCATCTCTACACTGCAGCGTTGGAACCTAATTTGAGTAGATGCCGTGCTTTGGCAGCAAATAGGATGATGAAAAATCAGGGTTCGTCGTCGATATCCTTTTATTGTCGCTTTGTGTGCATGACTCTGGCGGTGGTGTGTAGTGATGACTGGATGGAGAAGGACTGGGAAGAGAGGAATATAGTGGTGGAAGAGAAGTTGCAGTGGTTGAAAACTATGAGGGAGGGGTGTACGGTGTTGTGGGGGAGTACTTTTGAGGGGTGGATACAGTGGTTTGAGGGGAGGAGGATGAAGAGGGAGGATGAAAAGGCGGCTGAGGAGGCGGCGAGGACCTTGGAGTAGAATGTGGAGATGGAGAGGAGGAAGATGAGGGAGAGGTTCTAGGGGTGGCTTGGGGGAAGGGTGGAAGGGTGCGTGGGCGGGTGAGTTTTGTTAATTTGGGGTTTTTATGGTTCTGGAAAATTGTGGGATTGAGAAATGATATTGGATGTTTTTGTTATGTGTACAGAACTTTGCTAGTATGATTAATTGTAATTGGTTTTGCTTTTTGAAAACTGTTTTTCTAGGTTGTGTTTGTTCATTTCATACACTCTTTTGTGCCTGGTTATTACTCTCGAGATAAATTATTACCAGTCCCCTCCCTTAACATTCCGCTCAATTAGCGAGCTCTATGTACCATTTCACCGGCCGTATCGATTTTCGTCCCAGTTATTCAACCCTTATTTAAATTTCTTAATGTAAGACCACCATTCAAAGATCCGAAGATGATGAAATGGAATTGAATTCATTATATTGGATTATAATTACAGGCTGTTGATTGCAATATGAAGTCTTGTTTGTGTGTATGATAAGTTTCCACTTCTGATTTTGAAGATTTGAGTATAAGCGAGATGATATCTTGTTTGACACCTAGTTAGTGATTGAATGAAATAGACTATATATCATATATACAAAAATCCCTATTATATTGACAAATCACTCTTACCCCTCGCCCCTTCCCCTTTCCCACCTCTTTCCCCCAACACCAACACCAACCCCGACTAACTAACAAACCGCACCACATTCGCCCCATAAACATTCTCATTCGCCGTATAGCTCGCCACACTCTCCCCATCCATATCAATCATACTTTCCACCCCCAACGTATTCAATCCATACACATAGACCGTCGAACCGGAATAAACTTCCGTCGCGGACCCGCCTTCGTCGATGCCGAAGATTTGGGTCTGGCAGTTGCTGTTGTAGGTCGTGCTGGTGTGGTTGGAGCATGCTGGGGAGGGAGGGAGGGGGTGTTAGTTTGGGGGGTGGGGAGAGGAGACAGGAGAGGGGAGATAGAAGAGGGAAAACGTACTAAGACTGTAATCATTAAAGAAACTATAGAAACCAGCGCCGTATACGAGAATGTTTTTAGAATCTAAGATGCGTAATCCCCAGGCGTCGTAACAGGTGGCAGATTTACCGGCGCAGAAGGTGGAGAAATCGGGGTCGTTGAGGGTGGTGACTGGGGGGAAGGGTGAGGTTGCTTGGGGGACGGGTTGGTAGTAACTTTTGGTGGTTAGGGTGGTGGTTGAGTGGAAGAGGGTAGAAGGGGAAATGGTATTAGAGGATTGGAAGGAGTGGAAGGGGGCGAATAATGGGGAAATGGAAAGGGTATTGAAAGATGGCATGGAATTGGAAAAGACACTCACGGGGTTTCTGTTTGGATATATCCCATAAATACATTTTGAGTATTGGCGAATTGATATTGATAAAGTGCGTGATGTTCCACAGCTGTTCCAATCCTAGATGATTCTTAGTAAGTCTGCAATAAACGACAAGGATAGGAGATACATACAACCAAAAATTTCCAGTGGTACTCTCAACCGATAATCCTCTTCCACTATAGATAGAAATCTGAGTATCAATCACATCATCAATATCATGATCCGCAGTCCACAACCATACATTCTCCATATACAATCCACTCGCAATACTAGTAATTTGCATACTCATAAACGCAGCAATACAATTAGTATTCGGTTGAGTGCCTGTAGTAGGGCATTGAGCAACCTGCAAATTACTACCATCAAACCCACCAATTCGGGTATGAACATCCCATATTCCAGAAGGTGTGGTAGATGGAGATGCGAGATTCCATTGGATGAGTGTTGCTCCTGCTGTGGCGCCTTGAGTCGATACAATCATATCTGACCACTCTACAATACCGGTTTCGCCACTCGTGGATCCGATTCGGATAACTGGTTGAGGAGCGGCCATATTGGTGAAGAAGGACCCGGATCCCATTATTACGGGATAAGTTTCTCCGACAATTCGTGCACCTGCTGGAACGGAAATTGTGGTGGTTACTTTGTAAATACCGGAATCGAAGTATACCACTTTACCAGCAGCAGTTGCAGAAGTGATGATTGCTTGAATGGCAGCTGAATCATCTGTTACTCCGTCGCCTTTAGCTCCGGCTGTACGAACACTAGCAAATTGAGTGACCGCAAGAGTGTTGTATTGAGGTTTAGATCGAGTGTAATATTTTGTACCGCTGAGCAATGATGCTGGACGAGGGAAAGCAGAAGTTGCACCTTGAGTTGAAGTGGGACCTGTAGGGCTGTAGGTATTACCTTGCACCCAAGCAGCGACTGTTATGGAACCAGTGCTTCCTGCTAAAGATACACCATTTGCACCTTCTACGGCGGTCGGTACGTTAGTGAAAGCCACATTTTCGATGGCTAGACTTCCAGCAGTAAGAGGAAGTGATGTACTGCTTCGAGCAGTAAGGATACCGATAGGAGTATTGGAGAAAGTACTGTCGATGACAGTTACTGATCCAACTTGTTGTGCTGTAGAGCCACCATCAGACATATCAAGACCAACACCACAGTTGTTGATTGATAATCCCATATATGTCCACCCCCAATCTAAAATTGTTAGTATTGTAATTAGAGAAAGATGAAAGGGAAATTACCCCAAAGTTGATATATAGCGGTCCCGCAACTATGATGATTAGTTTGGTAGTATTTCTGGAAGCGAGAATCTTACTTGTTAAATGTTAGGTTTCGCGAGGTAAACTGCTGTGATCCAACATTCATGCCATATTGACCACCATTGAAGATGAGATCATTCAGATATCCACCAGAGCCTACAGTATTCTGTTAGTGATATGTATTACAGGATTGAATATCAGTACTTACCATTCTCTATGAAAACACCTTGATGCAAAGTACCACTCGCTTTGTTGAGATTAAAGACCATGTTCTGAAGACTAGTTGCTTGAGATGTTGGCCAATGAATCCCTCGTGCCAAAGAAGTAGCCGGCATATTTGTAGTGTCAATGATGAAGTTTCGCACTTGACGATAGAATACATTCGTAGTTCCATAATCCGGTACAGATGATCCATAAGGGTCCGCATCAATAAGTGCTAGACCTACAAAACCAGCAGTGGCTTTGATGGTTGGTAAAGCATTTGGATTTCCAATCAATTGGGTCATATAGTATGGAAGAATAGGAGATGAGATCAAGTAAGTTCCAGCAGGAAAATACACCACAGCTGGGGAGTTAGTGGCAGATGCACATCCAACCCCTGGAACTCCTTCTACGCAGCGAGATCCATACGCAATTGCTGCATTAATTGCAGCTGTATCATCGGTGACACCGTTGCCTTTGTTAATAGTCAGTATTTGGCATCTAAAGATGCGACGAGTATGTACCTGTGGCTCCAAAGTCCTTTACATTTCTGAATACTTGATATGCAGTTCCTTGGGGATTATAAGGAGCGACTCCCTGATGGGCAATTGTCTCATACCAATAGGCTTGACCGAGACATGAAGAAATGAGACCAAAAATGATCCAAAATGAAGTGAAGAAAATCATATTCATAAGACGGTACATACAAAAGGAGTGATGGTTGGTTGTACAAAAGAATGGGATGTAGCAAAGTAGCAGATGAAGCTTTTATATAGGAGAAATTTGGTAGTATGAGTACTCAGATACGTTCCAATACCTGATTGATTGCCTGGAAACATAACAAAATTTTGATGCCAAAATACTCGGTTCGCCCCTGTATAGTTACTTCGAGGGCTGCAAAAACCAGCACAAGATCCTTTCGATACATGGCACATGTAGCGATAGCGAACATGATTCTCACATCTCATGAGCACAGCGACAAGGGGAATTCAGCTACCGGAGATGAGTGTGGGGAAGATCGTGAGGTAAAAAAAGAGATTGAGGGAAGCTACCGAGGAAAAAAAGAAGGCACATGCCTTCATGGAATGATACTCCGTTCCGGTAACGTTTCATTATTTGGAAAGTTCATCTCTTTTGTGTCTTCCAAATTCATTGATAGTTTGATGCCTGCCTTGCAGAAGAGATGAAAGGAAAAGATCGACAGTGAACAAGCGGTAAAATTTAGGGAAAAGAGTCCATCGGGGAATAACAATCTGAATCTAATCTTCAGGTCTTCCTGAACACGGCACTCGACCTCAAATTTGAAGGTTACATTCGCCATCTGGTGATAGTAGTACAAGGTATGTACCATCCCAGGCTCCTCAGCGCATGATCGAACAAGATGATTGGATTAACAAGGCCTCCATACAACTCCCATAGACCTATCCTATCCAGGTATGGGGTTAGCATACTTGTTTAGGGGGCATGTTGGGACCTGCATTGTGGATATCATGAGATGAGATGAGATGGGATAAAAGTTTTTGCGGCTTAAGAAATACTCGAATATCCGCCTCTCATTTGCGGGGTAAAAGGGGGGGTAAAATAGCCTTGTTGAAAATCTCGGGCCTTTTCAAACCGTATATTTTGTTCCTGCGCCTTCATGCCACGGCTAATAATTCCGAATATCAATCTGTCTCAATGACACCTGCCGAAAAAGCTTAGCCAAAAGCCAGCGTTGCATGTTTCGGAGAATATTAGCTTTTCTGAATCAACGACACCGCTTTACGCGCAAGCTCGAATCGCGCCACACCGAAGGAGCAAGTCGATTGGATAAAGACAGACGATCGAATTTAAATTCCTCCAAAGGAGGGCCGTACCTAAGTACTCCTTCCTCATGAATGAAATTGTTGTAGGCTCTCTGCAAGGCGCACTGAAGCCGTGGCTGACTATCATACATCTAAAAACATGTGTAAAAGCAAAGATTGCTAGCTAGACTTTCCATGTTGACGGATAAGAATTGCCTCGGAGGTTCAATGTTGAATGTTGAATGTTTCGGCTTGGTGGTTGTAGTTGTCACATGGACGATGCATGGATAGAATTATAAGCACATGCTGGGGTTTCAGACGCGTACACGCTAATCTATATCTAGAGGGTGACACGGATCACATTTCCATTTCCTCTGTGATTTTCTAGATTTCTACAAAATCTATACCCAACAAAAAAAATGAGATAAATTAATGGTGATCAGATAAAAACCCTCGAAAATTCTCCCAATGCCATTATTGCCATAGCCTGACCATATGGCATACTTGTCCTATCAATATCAATGTAATGCTGTAAGGTATGACCCATTGCTGTCCCAAAGCTGACATCAAGTAATTCTCCTTGATCATTAACTTTTCCCAACACAGCTTTTATGGCTTTAATCGCACAATTCTGATATTCCTCCCCTTCTATATATCGCATCCTTAATGCTTTCAATATACCATATGCAAATCCAGCTGTGGCAGAACTTTCAACATAAGATCCCGTATCAGCAGATTGATCCAGAAGTGTACGCCATAAACCATCGTCTTCTTGATATTGAACCAATGCTTGACACTGCGCTTCCAGAGTATCGATAAGATGAATACGAAATGAATCATTGGTTGGCAAATCGAGCAATTCCAACATTTCTGGAATGACGATTGTTAACCAAGAGTTACCTCTCGCCCACAATGCCTTTGCGAAATTATGTCCTCCATCTGCAAAAGTCCACCCATGAAAGAATAATCCAGTCTTGGTGTCAAATAGATATTTGATATGGAGGAGAAATTGCCTTTTTGCTTCCTCCACATAATGAGGTCGATTCAAGATTTTCCCAATCTTCGCTAATGGTAGAACCGTCATCATCAGTGTATCGTCCCACAATTCTTGAGCGTTGGTCGAGTTGTATGTCATGTGTGACATTCCACCATATTTTGTTCGTGGAAGCTCATACATCGCCCATTCTGCCCAGTTCTCTAACCATGGCAAGAACCTATTAACCTTTTTCTCTTCATAAACGTATGCTAGCGTTAGCATCGCGGCCACTGTGTTGATATTTTTGGTAGTTCCTCCTTCATCGAAGCGATTTTGAAACCATTTCTCAATGATCTCTAAGGATTCTTGAGAACCGGTGAGGCAGTGATCTTTCCAAAGACCATAAAGTCCAATACCATGAGTCCACTCCCAACCTTGCCATCCTTTGGTATCTATAACTCTGCCGTCTTCCAATTTCAATAGAAATTTCCCAGATTCATCCTTGATATGGACCATTTGAAAAATCAAGGAGTCGATGGCCTTTCGAACATCGCTCGAGGCAACATTGTAAATTTCTTGCGGCATTTTCGTCTCGATTGTATTGGGGTAATGGGGTTTGAATTCTCAGGACTTGACAATTCTCACTCCTTCCACTCAAGATATATCTACTCTTGGAATCCGGTATGATTTCTGCCGAACCCCGAACTGTCATCCCTTGGCAAATCCCCCGCGTTTATCCTTACTAGTCTTCCACGTGATACTTCTTACTGCTGCTTTACACAACGGAAAGCACATCTGTTTGTTAGTTTTTACTTCATCTGATGATTGAATTGAATTTGACACAAGCCCGGCTCTTGATAAGATAGGTACCTGCTTGCCCCAATCTGAAAATAATCATGCTCTATATCATAACCAACGGCACTTTGTCTTGTTTTGATATATCCACTAAGTATAATCGTAGAGAGCTTTGGGTAAGCGGCCGTTAACATCATCGGCTCAGTGTGATCCACGGTACCCACCTTCGATTGTGAAATGGAGATTTGGTAGCCAGAGCAAATACTCACGCCTCGACTACAAGTTTCCAAAATCCTCTTTCGATAAATGGACGCGTAATGAGATTTCTGAATGCCACCTGGCATTGGATGGTTCATATCTGACGGTAGCACTGGTACCGGATGCTCATTGCAGGCATCAAAACCTTCGAAATTCTGTGATTTCTAAGCTCTCCTGTGCAACAGGTATATCTGAATACGAGAATTGCTGTCTGCCATTGCTGATGCATAGAGTCAGATTTAAACAAGACAGCTTGCTGAACCGTAGATGTAGAGAAAATCTTCCTGCGAGGGACCAAAGATTCTGGATGGGGATGGTATTTTGACGGCAGTTTTGCCAGCTCAGAGTTCAAAAAATTGTTGCCCTCAGAAGACACGGCTATGATCAACTTGAAAGGCTGGCAAAATTCAGACCTATTGAGATTTGGCCGGGCAATCCACACAGGGGTGGAATATTTGAAGCCAATTGATGGAATCAACGAGAATGCGAAGCTCCAGAACCCTTTGACAGACTTAGAGCTGTGTAAAGAGAAGATAGGATCCGAGATACACGACGGTGATTTCAAAAAACTCGGAATACCTCAGGTTCTATTTCTTTCCAAAAGGGCAACTTCACCAGCTGACCATCCGCCTGGGGGGAAGGGAAAAAAGATAGCAAACTCAGATAGCAGTCAAGGGTCTTGTTCGAGTGACGATCAAGGGAATGAAATCCAAGAAGAAACGGACGAACAAGATCTTCCAAAAGAGCCTGAATCCGAGCCTAGAGAAGGAATATTCGTTCCTGAATGGGTTTTCAATGACATTAGTTCATCCGCAATGGCTATATCAGAAATGGGATTGTCTGAGGTTATGCAAAAAACACTCAAGAAACTCAGAAATCTTCAAAGTAAAGGGCCGGAAGTACTGTACGAGAAATTACTCACCCGGGCCTCCTGGCGGTCAAGGAGCTCCTCGATGAGCAATATGCTACTTAAATATCTGCCTTAAATACGAAATATATGAGGATGGAAGATGTGCTCGTAAAGCGATTGGAAACAGCTCATGAGGAGAACTTCCCCTCGAATATGAAAATTATGAAAATTGCAGATGAAATCGAAGAGCGATTCGAAACATGCAGGAAAGAGAAGAAGAAGGAGAAGAATAAGGGGGAAGCTAACAAAGACGAGATAAGTCGGCACTTGGATGATTTGAACAAAATGCTCATGGAGATTACCGCACAGCGACTTGAGCTTGCAGAAAAATTGACATCTTCAATGGGAAACATTCCACAATCGTTGGTAGAAGAAGAAGTCAGAACGACAACTATCCAAACATTGGAGGAATGCATCTCTGGGGAAATGGTTTCAAAAGGCCCTGAAATTAACCCAAAGATTATTTTTGAGGTCATCAAAGACGCTCATCTTCACCATATTCAGTTGGTCCGTGACACTGAGTATTATCGAGGGTTGACGGACGGGCAGAGTATACAGATCAATGAAAACTGGTTAGATTCCTGGGAATCCACCGCAATCTTGGAAGAAGAATTCTTGGTCTTTTCAGGCCATTGTGCCAGCTAGAATATATACAACCACACTAGCTCGAACTTTGAGGGTCATGAGGCCATAATAGGTAGCCAAGTCGAACAGTCTCCAGTCCCTGAGATCGTTCCGCCGTTCTGCAATAGTGATATGGGCATTTCTTTAATAGATGTGGAAGGGGAGGTCGACGATTCCTTCTTCGATGGTCTTATGAGTGGTTCAGCAAAGGAAGAGTGTGATATCGAGGATTCGTGTGTACATGAACCAGGGCCACAAAAAACGCTTCAGCAAAATACAAAACTCAATCATACCTTTTTCGATGATCTTACAAGTAGCTCAACAGGAAAAGATGATAATATAGAGGATTCGTGTGTACATGAAATAGAGCAACCAAAAACAATTCAACAAAACACAGAAAGAGAACTCGACCATACTTGATTCGACAATTTTATGAGTAATCCAATGAAGAGAGTTCACGATAGTGAGAATCCGAGTGTAAGTAAGAAAACGGCTGAAGGCGGCTCAGCAAGATGAAATTTCAGCTCCTCAACCGCAAGAGTTGGAAGATGAGTTGACTATCGTCGTGGATACTACGCCTAGGACATAGTAACCGCTTGGTTCGATGATGATTCTTGGAGCTCGCTTGATATCATCAAATGTCATTTTCTGCGCAATGAAGGAGCTGGAACAATCGGGACGGGATGGGGTGGGGTTGTAATGTTATTTATTTCTTCTTTTGACGGCACCGGATGACAGAGTCAGGGTAGGAAGTGTGTTTGTTTTTTTATTGAATTGTTTGGGGTTTCAAATGGTGTAACAGCGTGAAATTTAGGTGGGTTTAAAGTATGGATGTGGGTTTGAGGTTCCGACGATGTGCCTGCGGGTGAGATGTCACTACCCTTTTTCTTCATCTTTTCAGAAAAATGAATAAAGAAATAAACGTCTAGCTTATTTTAACTCCTATGAGTAAATTTGGTTAAGAAACTGTTAAATACGATAATACCACGTGCTGCATCCAATAGCATCTCTTTTCGTGGGTTTATGCTTTGCTGCTTGGGCTGTAAGTTTTGGGAGTTTGATATTTTGTGCTGACAAAAATGTCTCTTTGCAGCCATCAACATATCTATTCTCAATCCTCTACTTCCCTCTATCAATTGAAAGAAATAATGCTCGTTCTACTTTGAAACTCCTATTCGCAATGTAAAAATGTTATAAAGAAGCTTGAGAAAAAGAACCAAATCTACCTCAACCACTTAATAATCCAATCTATACTCCAGTGTCCATTCCACAATCTTTCTAATCTCCGATATGTCTCTCTATATGTCTCTCTATAATTTACTCTCTCTGTTGACCTCGTTCTTAATCCCCTCTCTCTTCCCCCTAAAAAGCTCTTCTACCTTCGCAAACTGATAGAAGAATTTCAAACTCTCTGGATTCAGCAATGTACCACTTGGTTTAATAATCTTCCCCGATACGATTTGCTTAACGGGAAGTTCGACTTTCTTCAGATTTACTGTTGTCTAGATAAGTGGGTAGGAGATTAGTTTAAATGTGCGGCACAGGGTAACAGATTTTTTCAGACTTGACAAGATGAACTCACAGGAATATCTGGGGCTTCGAAAATCCACCTTGGAACATGTCTTTTACTTAACTCCCTTCCGATTACCTCTTTTACCTTTTCTCTCAACCTCTCGGTAAATTTCTCACCCTCTCTCATTACTAAAAATAACATCACCCTCTCGTCTTCATCCCCTTCTCTTTTCTGTCCCACGCATAAACTCTCTTGAATTTCCTTCCCAAAATATTTCTCAATAATACTATATATCTCCGCGCTGCCAAAACGAACACCACTAGGGTTCAAAACACCATCCGCTCGACCGTGAAAATGTAAGTTGTGAGTTACGGGGTGAATGGATACGAAATCACCGTGAGTCCAGACGTGGGTATATTTCGAGAAGTAGGAGGAATGGTACAAGGAACCACTGGGGTCGCGGAAAAAGAAGGCGGGGATGTTAGGGAAAGCTTGGGGAGCTACCAGTTCACCGGGTGTGCCATGTTCAACTTCAACGCCTTGTCCGCTTTCGATGAGAGCATCGTAAACTGCGATAGGTGTGCCTAAGCTAGGACCTTGAGTTCCTCCAACATAGACTGGAGTCAGGGGATTTCCTTGGCCAAAGGATCCTGCCTTCAAGTTATCAGCAAACTCATAATCAACATACCTAGATTACGGTGCAACTCACAATATCCGTTCCTCCAGAAATATTAGCCAAATGCACTCTTGTCGGGAATCCTACATCATAAAACCATTGAAAAAGCTGATCCGACAATACCATACCCGTACTCGTCACCGAATGCAAAGTCGAAAGATCCGTCACATCCTTCGGCACAATCCCATTTTTCTGCATTTCTGCCATCCATTTTGGAGATGTTCCGAAGTGCGTAACCTTTAAATCGCCGAGGAGTTTTACAAAAGTAGTGAGATCGGGCTGAAAGGGACTTCCGTCATAGAGAACTATGCGACATCCGGTAAGTAGATTGGAGATGGACATAAAATACATTATCCATCCTGTTGTTGTGTATTGAAGGGCCGTACAATGAGGGCCAGTTTCTAGATGGAGAGTTCCTTCTTTAGCTGCGCTGAGGATTGCGCCACCAATGGAATGGACGATGCATTTTGGTGTTCCAGTGGTACCGGATGAATACGCAATGAAGAAAGGATCGTGGAATGCTGTTTTTGCGAAAGTAAGAAGTTGAGATGTAGATTTTGAGAGGTAAGTAGATAGACTTTGGGTGCGAGGAATGTCGGAGATATCTGAGGGTGTTTGAAATCTAGGCACAGAAACCATTCCTTTGAACTCTTTGACATCTTTCATTCCATGAACAATCGCGATCATCTTTTCGCGAAGATCAACTGTCTTGCCATTGTAGACGGCCCAATCATCCATAAAAATATACTATTGTATGTGTGTTAACTTTCTACGCGTCACATGTTTTATCTGCAAACGCGAGACATACCTTTGGCTCAACCTGTAAAGCCCGTTGCAAAACACCTTGAACACCCATATCCGTCGAACTACTACTAAACAAACCCCCAAGCGATGCTACAGCCAGAAAAACCTTCAAAGTATCAAAAGAATTACTAGCCACAACCACCACTCTATCACCGATCCCAACACCATGTTCCTTCATAGCACTAGCTAATTCCGCTACGCCTTTCCTTAACTCTCCCCAACTAATATCACGTATTTCAGTTCCTCCCTCTCGAACCTCAGTCAAAGCAATCTTGTTATCTTCTTTCCCAATTGTACCTCTGTGAGACGATGCATGACCGGATACTCGCGAATACAATATATTTTCAGCAAAATTCATATATACACCCGAGAACCAATGCGGTATAGAATCTATGGGGGCATTCTCATCAACGACGGTTGTGTATGAGCCGCTATAGATTAGATTGAGGTATTGGAAAGCTAGGTCCCAGAATTGAGCTCGGTGAGTGGTGGAATATTGCCAGAGATCCCAGAAGTTCTGAAGTTATCAATCAGTATGTCATCGACGGGAAAAAAGGTAGCTTAAATTACATCAATCTGAAGATTGTGTTTGTGATTGATTTCCTGCATCAGTTTATACATAGCTGTATTTTTGGGGCTGGGATGCTCCCAGAGCTTTCTGGGTAAACTCAAGGTACTCATGTCTGTATATAATTTCCTGAAACTCTGACAAAATGATGAAATGAGAAACTAGATGTCGAAGCAAATTGATATGATAAGGAGGAGGTCTTCAAAAGCCAGGCTTGCTATCTAGTAGCTATTAATAGCCGCGGAACTACGCAAGTATCTAAGGTTATGTGGAGAAGATCTTCCCCAGATCGTGCCGAATTGCGGGATGTGGGGGTAAGGTTAATTCACCGCGGCATCAATCCGTTTCTTCATGTTGAAGAGCCGCTGGAAGATTGATGCTAACACTTTCTAATTTTAGCATATCATATTCTTCTTTGAATACCGGTATCCAATGTACAGAAAAGACGGACGCGGTGGGCTGGAACGAGCAATGATGTTCTGAAATTTGAGACGGTTGATTTACTCCCGCATTCCAAAGTTCAGCGATGGCTGGGTGGTCGGAGAGACAGTCTCAAAGCCACCGCCTATTAGGCTCTTGTTGTCATCTTACCTCTACCTCTACATATACCTATACTTGTGAGCAGCGACTTTCCCAGATCAGGCAATATGCTAACGAAGTACTTCGCTTTCGTATTATTGTTTGATTTTCAGAGGCATAAACATTCGGTTTCACTACTAAACCGAGCCTCATCAAACTCATACCTCCCACTTGTTGAATCTATTAACTCAGGAATAGAGAATAGGAGATGGTCTCACTCTATGAGGCTGGTGTAAGATACGAAGTACCATTCAAGTGAATCGACTGTATTATGACGATGAAGACGTTTCTTTCAAGCTGCTGATGTGTTTACACAGCAATTGCTATATAAGCTTATCATCGAGCTAAGATCCGAAAGGTAACAAAGACAAAGTGACACCCCCAAAACATCATGGCTGATATCAGGCTACCTACCCCTCATTGTTCAACGAGAGCAATACTTTGATACTATACAACATTCCCAATACTCACTATCCAGGAAAGACAAACTCATCGCATCCACTATCTCTAATGCGCATTTCTTCAAATCCCGAATTTACATTCACGGCTTCGGATATCAACAGAAGTGGCATCGGCATCAAAGAAACCCCATGCCGGACAATAATCTTCCTCTAAATCTCCGTTTCCCATATCATTTAGCGAAATTCCACTATCCGACAGAGTAAGGCTGCAAGGGTTGTTGAAGTCCGCCCCATCGAGCGATAAATATAAATGCAACACTACCTGATCAAACTCCAATTTTCCGACCCCCTAAACATCGATAAAGGCTATTGTTAAACAGCACTCCCGCCTATCCTATAATTCACCCCTCAATCCCCTCTCAAAATGTCCCGCTACTGGCCCCACCCCCCCTACGCCGAGGACCAACCTCACTCCGGACTTATCCTCTGGACCCACATCCTCACTCGCGGTCCCCCCACCGCCGCTTTCCTCACCCCCTTCATATCCGCCAGCAGCCTTATCTACCGCAAACTTCCCTTACCCGCATCCCTACTTCCCCGCTCCCAATCTTTATCCTTTCCCTCCCAACTTCTCAATCTCCGCTCCATGGGCACTAACACTCTCGGCGTCACTTCTCTCCTCACCCTCGCAACTATTGCACGTATGTACGGGCGCACCGATATCGAATATCAGGATCGCAGCTGGCGTCTTTTAGAAAACAAAGGACAGATGGAATCTGACGATTGGATGTATGGGGGTATGATAGTTGGTGCTCTTTGGAAGTTCAAATCTGGGTCTCTCGTGGATTGGAGGGTGAGAGTTGGTAGTATCAGTGCAGGGAGCGCGATGGGGGTTCTAGGGTATTTAGGGTGGAGATATGGAGTCAAGGGGGGGAAATGGGATGGAGACGGAAGGAATGAGAGGACTGAGAGCACGAACTTATGATTTACGATTCGGGCTTCAGGGTGCTTGGCACATGAGTTTAGGAATTCGGCGGAAAAGTACTTGGATATCACCCACTCTTTATTATCTGTAGGTTCGTGTATATTACTACAACCCTTGAATTGATTAATACCCCATGTAAGTGTATATCTAGATTGATCAACAACCATCCTTCATTAGCGAACAGGTGATCAAGTTTCAAATGCTATACGCCATTTAAAATGCATGTTACCCCCTCTTTACCCATTTGTTCTGCCATTGTCCCAATTACCTTCCGTCGCACCATAATACGCCCCTAAAAGAGAAATAAAACGCCCGCAAGTGTAAAGAAGCGAGACTTTTCCATCTCAGACCTCTCCTTCTCGTTTCTACTTTTCTCAAACCCCAGATCCTTAACCAATCCGCCGAAAGAATACTAATCACCATCACTAAGCTCCATTGAATTTACTTCATCTACCACCACTTTGCTCCTCGACTTCCCCTTCCCTTTCATTCTGCTTGGTCTCAAATTTGCCAAAACCTCATCTTTCCTCAATGATAATTCCCTCTCAATTTCATCTTCCTCATCATCAAAAATCCTACTACCGTTGATACCATGAATAGCCGTTTCTTCCAAGGCCTTATTAAGCAATTCGGTGGCAATAGCATCTTGAGGTGAAATAGCAAGTGCCTCGTGAAACATCAAAACGGCTTCAAAAGGTTTCCTCTGCTCCATTAATACCAAACCCTTGGCACAAAAAATAGCCGGATCTTTTCCGCCCTGCCGAAGTACTGCATTAAATTCTGCCAAAGCAGCATCCCATTGATGAAGACGTCGATATGCATGACCGAGATTCGAGCGAGTGGATATCCAAGCTTGTGGATCACTGTCAATCTCTTCAGCAATTTCGAGAGCTTTCCTTAATATTAAGACAGCATCTTCGAGCCGTTCTTGGTGATAGAATACTACTCCCATCTCGTTTAAGAGTAATGGATCGGTTTTACAGAGTTCATATGCAGTTTTCAAGAACTCATCGGCTAGAGTCATATTGTTTAGCATGTGATTTTGCATGCCTAGAAATAGTTGGGGCAAGTGAGTGCCCATGAAAAGTCTTGCTGCTGTCGAATATGCTGAGATTGCTTGATCATGTTCTCCTTCTGCTGCAAAAGTGTGGGCAAATCCAATCCAAGCAGGTCCAAAATGAGGATCCATCATACTAGCTTTGCTGAAATAACGTCGAGCTTCAGCGACTTTGTTTATGGCCAAATAATATATTCCCACGGCAAGCCATGTACAGGGCTCTTCTGGATGATTATCCGCTAGATCGTGTGATACCTGTCAATATAATGTCAGCATTTATGGAATATCATAACAATTCCTTAGAAGGTCCTCGAAAAAGATTGAGCCATCCTACGTCCATCCCCAAAAGATGCGCCATTGCGAGCTATGAATGAAAAGTCGAGAATCTAATTATGCTAAAACAAAAGGAGGGCCATGGCACTTACAAGGAACAGAGCATTCTTCAGTTGCAATTCGTACAGACATGCTAAATGCAGAGGGTATATACTAAAATTGTATTTGTCTTCCTCGAGAATAGAATTTGTGATAGCTAAAGCATCCTTAAACCTACATTGTGTAAAAAACAGATCCGCTTTAGACAATAAAAGATCAGGATTTGTAGCAAGATTGTAATGTGTTGAAAGTGTTTCTGTCGCTGTTGTAAAAGCCGCTGGGTTCTTGTATTTCGAAAGTCGAGTAGTATAAAGCATTTTTGTGAATTCGGCAGCTTCTTGAGAAGATGAAGTATCGTCCGTAACGGATATGGTATCGAAATCTAGAGATTCTAAAAATTGCCATTCCTCTTCTGGTGACATTAGGCAGTTCTTCATAAGCTGCTCGAATGCTTCGAAGCATTGTACATCTATTCGAACAGCATCTTTGTAACATTCTTTCGCTCTATCGAAAGCATTTTGTTTAGCATAGCAAAGTCCTCGTAGAAAGCACATGGCAGCTTCGAATTTCACATTCGCCGCTTCATCTTTTGCCATTTCGTCCTGTCTATGCCGACTGCTCTGTGTTGTTGATCCATTTCGAGCATGACCTCTCGTATGTTGTAATTTTTTTCTATTGTGACCGGCTGTTGATATTAAATGTGTAGGGTTCTTTTCGCCGAGTATATTCAAAGCCTCCTCAAATCTCGATTGTTTAATCAGACAATGGCCTGCAAGGTATCGGCAAGACGGATTTCGAGCTATTAAGTCTTGTTTGGTGAGGAAACTCTGAGCTCTTGTATAGTTTCCCGTGGAGAAGTGCACTTGTGCAAGCCAAAAAGCATCTTTATCACTTTCTATAGAATGGTCAGAACCAACAAGTAGTTAAGAGGAGTACGGAAGAAGTAGTACTTGTTATAGCTAGCAATTTATCTCCAATAAATATTGCCGAGTCGTATTGGTGCTTGTTCATAGCATCCTGCCGCCAATCTCTCAAGAATTTCTCCATATCTTATTGTAAATTGTACCCATACAATCAAACTTCAAGATTATTGTGATCAATGTCAAAGGGTATTAATTACGAAGGGGTACAAAATTAGGTTTATTGTTTGTTTTCATAGCGAGGCAGTCGCGTGGGGTGACGCGAGGCTGAGATCTTTATCAATGATTTTCACGAGGCCAGGCGATAAAGGCTTACATAACGCATACTGGGCTGGGCTATCAATTTGATCCAGAACTTCGTCGCCTTGTCTTGTCTCTCACCTGTCATCCATCATTGCATCGCCAACTCAGAATCGAAACTACTCTCATCCACATTGGACACCTGCAAACCTACTACGATCACAAACAGATTAACTACAGCAGCTTAATTCAAGATGTCCGAGCGAAAAGTTCTCACCAAATATTACCCACCCGATTTCGATCCTTCGAAAATTGTTAAGTCGCGCGCTCCCAAACAAGTTGGACCAAAAGTACAGACAGTTCGTTTGATGGCACCATTTCCCATGAAATGTACGGCTTGTGGAGAATATATCTACAAAGGGCGGAAGTTCAATGCGCGCAAAGAAACTACGGAGGAGAAATACTTGGCAATCTCAATATATAGGTTTTACATCAAATGTACAAGATGTTCTGGCGAAATCACCTTCAAGACGGATCCCAAGAACATGGATTATCAGTGCGAGCGCGGCGCGAAAAGAAATACCGAACCGTGGCGTGTGAATGGAGGTGGCCTTCAAGAAAGCGATGAGGAGAGACTGGATCGTCTGGAAAGAGAGGAACAAGAGCGAGATGCTATGCAAGAGTTAGAGGACAAAACAGCAGAAGCAAAAACGGAAATGGCTGTCGCCGATGCATTGGATGAAATTCGCACAAGAAACGCAAGGAATGAACGGGTCGGAAAGGATGGAACCGAGGTCACTGTAACACGAGAAAATGTTGACTCGGAACGAGAAAGACAGGAAAGAGAAGACGAAGAAGCGGCTCGAAGGGCTTTTATGAGGAGACAGGAGGCCATGGAAGAAATTATAGAGGATGATGCTGATGATGTCGGTGCAGGACCAGCACCAAAGATTACCAAAGAGGAGGCATTAGCGATGCCACCTCCCAGCTTCAAACGAGTTGTAAAAAAGAAAAAAGATCATGCTGCTGCACTGGGTATTAAGAAGAAGCCTTCCCTGGTTTGAATGAAGAGCTCGGTTGTGACGGCAGACGATAGAAATAATACGATATTATGTGAATATTCGAGGGGATTGGTATCGGAAAGCGTTATGCTGGCACAAGATCATGTTTGTAAAACCAAATATCATTCGTTCAAAAAGCCACCGGAAATGTCAAAAGTGCGTAGACTAATTGAACGCAGATTGTCTATGGCTTTACGGTTGCTCTTGTGAATCCTTCTTACGCTTTGATGATCATATTGCATCGATATAGCGCATGTTTCAGGGGGTACATCTGCATCAATATCAAATATGCTTTTGCAACCACTGCAATCCGACGTTGTGTGTGTTGATGATGTATACATATTGCCGATATTTCCGCTCTGGATCCGAAAGTCAATTACTTCTTCCGCTCACATTGATTATTCGTTGTCTTACCCTTCCATGCAGAAAAGAATCGAGTGCATATATGGGGTCATCCACATTGCATTACAGACGAACCAAACTCGTGTGTGAATGACGTCGTCTAAACTTACTTCACTTTGTGAGTGGATAAGGGTTTATTAATAACCATAGATTGAGGAACCGATGCTTCGTACTCAGTGCGCAATATATGATACCAGGACGATTCGTTAATCAATCACCCATCGTCCGAGGTATACGAAGCACTGAGCAGCATTTCAAGTATTCATGCAGGCAGGTGGGTTACATCTGGTAGTTCATTCCATCATATCAAGTAAAGGTTTTACTCTCAGTCTCTCCAATATACCAACGGGATTCTCTCGGCAATATCACGTGAACAACTACCGATCTTTTCTTGTGGTAACGAACTCTTGATCCAGTTTGATCTGAATTCTGGTAATTTCTTCGATGATTGACCCACCATGTTGTGTGACAACGCCGATATCTTTTTCTGATTGCCGGCGTTAGTACCTAAGAGCACTTCGCACTGTTTGCATAACTATCACGGCGACCTTGTCTGTAAAAGCTTCGAGAAGCTTGTATGGGTTGGGAGAGGGTAGATCGGCAAATTTCCATCAACAAACTCCACATCTGATCTTTTGCATCATCACTTCAAGGCTGATGCTGGCTTCAATCGAAACGGTGAGTTAATTAATCATCTTGACGGGCGGCGCATTTTTCCCGCGGTTCTTAGGCAAAGCTTGACGGACGCCACAGCCGTTATTAGTGAGAGCTTTTGTTGAATTTTGTATGGATCATGTCGTAAGTCCCGATATACCCGCCAGGCGGATCGGAACACAATTAACCATCGAAGACACTACAATCTTTAGTATGTGTGGGTGGGTGTCAATGGAGGTGAGATATGTCGTCGTTCATTCATGAGATGGGTGAAAAGTCTCCAATTTATAGGGGGCTCTGGAGATATAAGTATCATCTCAATCCTGAGTATCAAAGTCTTTCTTTCACTCCATCATCATTATCATTTTATCATCATCTTTCTACGACTTTACAATAAACTTGAAATATTTACTCCGAATAATAATAAACTATACAAATCTTCCTCTTTATTGCTTGAATTATTATACATTACCACATAAACATGGGCTCCGTTCAAAGACAAACTCCAGCTTACGGACAGCGTTTACTACCAACCTTGGTTGACGAAAAGGCTGTAAGCGATCCTAATCGTATTATATATTCTTATGCGAGGACCACCAAAGCAGTAGATGGTTTCGTCGAAGTATCACAAAGACGCCTCGCCAATGCAGTGAACAGAGCTGCTTGGTGGATTGAGAAATTGCTTGGAAAGGGCGAGAACTTCCCATCCATAGGATATGTTGGTCCAGGCAAGTCTAAAACATATATCTGATCGCTTTAAGCTTACGTGCTAACTATTTTGAAGGGGATCTGAGATATCAAATCCTTGCCATAGCACTCGTCAAAGCAGGCTACAAGATCCTCCTCAATTCCCCAAGAAATAGTGTCGAAGGACATCTCAATGTCATAAAACAAGCCGAGTGTAACATTTGGTTATTACCCAGCCACAGTACTGGCAATATCCGTGAAGTCCTTAAGGTCCGTCCTATGACTGTTCTCGACTGTCCAGAACTCGACTTCTTCCTCGACGAAACACCAGTTTCACATTATGCCTACAATAAGACATGGGCAGAGGCATCTCAAGAGCCTGCTCTTGTCTTGCACACATCTGGGTCAACAGGTCTTCCTAAACCTATCGTTCTTCGACATGCTTTAGGTGCCGTGATGGACGCACAAAGCTTGGTGAAATGCGAAAATGGAGAAGCCCTTCACTCGGATTTGTGGAAAGGATCTAAAGCCTTTTCAAGTTTCCCAGCTTTCCATGCTGCCGGTGTTTTTATAAATCTTTTCAGCGCATTGTTTCACGATATCCAAATTGTATTGGCATCACCATCAGTTCCAGTAACTTCCAGTTTGGTGGACGATATGGTCGAGCATGCTGGCATTGATTCTATGATGCTTGCTCCATCAACAGTCGAAGAAATTGCATTCTCTCCCTCGAGTCTAGAGTTGATTCAAAAGAAAAACATCAAGTTCGTTTGCTTTGGCGGTGGACCAGTTGGACAAAAAGCTGGAGATATCCTTACCAAGATCACAGTTCTGCAGAATTTGATTGGAAGCACAGAAGCTGGCCTTTTCGCACTCATCTGGGCAGGAAGAGAAGATTGGAGATATTTCAAATTTCACGCCGACAATGGTCTCAAATTTGTTGAGAGAGGTGACGGTCTCTATGAAATGTTTGTTGTTCGAGATTCAAAGTTTGAAAAGTTACAAGGAATGTTCCATACCTTCCCCGAGCTCAATGAAATTTCTACAAATGATTTATATTCCAAACACCCCACAAAATCAGACATGTGGCTCTATCGGGGCAGAGCAGATGATATCATTGTCTTCTCAAACGGCGAGAAGCTAAATCCTGTCACAATGGAACAAACTATCAACGAACACGAATTAGTCCGCTCAGCAATCATTGTTGGTCAAGCTCGGTTCCAACCTGCTGTCATCATCGAGTTGATCGACCCGGTGGAAGTAACCGAAGACAATAAAAAGGATTTGATTTCTCGCATCCAACCTTTCATCGACGCTGCAAACAAAGGCTCGCCAACTCACGGTCAAATCAAGGATGGCTTTGTTATGTTCGCTAAACCCGAGAAGCCATTCTTGCGCGCTGGAAAGGGCACTGTTCAACGTGCAGCAACAATCAAACTTTACGAACCAGAAATCGAAGAGCTCTTCGCCAACACAGAAGGTGGCGATGATAGCAACCTCGATACTAGTTCTTTGGAATCATTGACATCCACATTGAAGGATTTGGTTGCTAAGATAGCTAGCGTTAATGAGCTTAGTGTCGATGAGGACGTCTTTGCAAGCGGATCATTCGATTCTTTACTCGTTTTTACTCTTTTGAGACAATTGCGATCAGCCTTAAAGAAGGACAATGTCGAGACCGAGAAGCTACAAGCTAGTACCATCTACAAAAACCCAACGGTCAAATCTCTTGCATCAGTTGTCTTCAAACTTGCTCGTCCATTAGAGAACCAAGAAGATTCTTCCAAAACCGACTTCGAAGAGAGACAAGCAATGTTTGAGAAATACGCCAAGGACTTGCCAAGCAAGACTTCCGGTACCACTGCTCATGATGCAAATGCTAAGATTTCCGTAATCTTGACAGGAAGTACCGGATCTATGGGTAGTTACATGCTCGACGATTTGGTCGCCTTACCACACATCTCCAGAGTCTATGCACTTAACAGAGCTGTCAACGGTGAGGAGAGACAAAGAGGAGCCAGCTCAAGCCATGGTCTCAACACCGATTTCAGCAAAGTCACATTCTTCAAGACAGACATGTCGCAACCACGCTTTGGTCTCGACCAGGAATCATATGATGAATTGTTGAAAAACGCCACTCATATTATTCACAACCAATGGCAAGTGGACTTTAACCTGAGTCTTGCATCTTTTGAACCTCACATCCGAGGTGTACGAAATCTTATTGATTTCGCAGCACAAAGCAAGAATAACGCTATTGTATCCTTCATTTCTTCGATCGGTGTTACGCAGGGAAAGAACTGGGAAAAGCCTGTTCCAGAACTTATCATTGATGATTGGAATGCAGCGGCTATGGGATATGGTTCATCGAAACTTATCTCTGAGGTGCTTTTGGCGGAAGCTAATAAGGTTGGTGGTGTACGCACACAGGTACTTCGTGTTGGACAGGTATCTGGACCTGTGAGGAAAGAGAAAGGAAGATGGAATATCCAGGAATGGTTCCCTACTGTAAGTTTTTATCTCCTCCCTTGTAAAGAATCAAAAAAGCAGAATCCTGACAAAACATCCTAGATCGTCTCAACGTCCCAATACATGAAAGCTGTTCCCACAACCCTCGCAGCCATGAGCCGTATTGACTGGGTCCCCGTCGACATCCTCTCCCACATAATCCTCGACCTAGCCGACCTCTCCAAACCCTCTTCCTCTTCATCCTCCACCCAAACCCCTTCTACCACCTCGTTAACCCTACCTCCATAGCCTGGTCCACCATCTCCCCATCCTCACCTCCCAAATCGGCGCAGACTGCAAGATCGTTTCCTGGGCAGAATGGGTCACCCTCCTCCGCGAATCCGCCGAGCGTGGAGAAATCGCTCAGAATCGGGGTATCAAACTCTTGGAATTTTACGAGGCGTTGGCAAAGGGAGCACCACTTGCGAATTTGGAGACAGAGAAGACAGTTGCCAAGAGTGAGACTTTGAGACAGTTGGAGCCGGTTAATGGAAGCTGGATGGAGTTGTGGATGAGACAGTGGGCTGCTTGAAATGATATGAAGTAATTTTTACATGGGGAGTTTGGAGATTAGGGAAGGTAGCGGAGGATAGATTTCTTTTCCATTTTATTCGGGCATTGCGATGGCGCATTTATAGATGGGGGTGTATGTATTGAGGTGGAGTTATTGGATGTAGTAAACTAGCCTTCTATTTCAAGAAATTCATGACACTTGTTAAAAAACAAAAGATATGCTTATGTATTCTGAGGTGCTACAAACAAGTGACAGGTAAAGAATGCTATAGAGAGGATATAGCTAGGAAACTGGGATTTTCCAGTGCTTGATTATGCAATGAATGTGTATCATCTGTCTGCAAATTCTAAGTCTATCCTTTCTGTGCTCCATTTTCAGTGCTGAAAAAACGGAAATGTAACCAACTACCTTCTATGCAAAACCACAATTCTTTTACTAACAACGAAATGCTAGGCACCCAATGCACCAACATTCAATCTTATGCATTTTCCCAAATTCCAAACCAGCCCAAGAATGCTCATTTATCCGATAGTACATTGGCACTTAGACCTCTCTCTTGCAATTCTCTTCTTTTCCTCCAAAATCCATTCTTCCTCTCTCTTTTTATCTGTTAACTCCTTCAACTCCTTTCCCATAGCCGTTTTAATGCCGCGCCCGCCAGTAGGATCTGGTTGATCAAGGAAACCATGAATACCAATTTCGGTCTCGTTGCTTTTCGCAGCCTTCGCATCAACTTCTAAATTCCTGGATTTAGTGAGATCTCCCCCTTCATTTCGAGAAGAGCGTGTTCACAAACCGGCATACTCCTCACTTTCATCCGCCCAATTTCTCAATTTTTCTCGTCTGAAGAATTCAAAATCCCATTCTCCTTTTTCCAAAGCGTCTAGATCTGTAAAGACATATGTTTGCGCTTCTTTCTCTTCTCCTGTTTCTACAGCTTCGGCCATGATTGCATTGGCGCCGTGCGTACTTTTATCCTTTGGGGCCAGGAGCTTTACAGTGACTACTTTTCGCTCATATTGAGATCCTTCGAAGTAATCCAAGTTTCGCATGTTGGAGGGCGTAAGACCGGTTACGTAGGTACCACGGACGGTATGACCTGGCTCAGAGATGATGGCTGGATAGTCAGCGAAGCTAACTCGATGTCGACAGTAGTCATGGAGAAGGGCGGGAGTGATGGTTAGAGAAGTGGAAGGGTGATTGGATGCACCGTAGATTACGCGGTAGAGAACTTCGGGGGCCATCTATTTAAGGAATAGAGTTATTGACAGAAGAGGAACAGAGGGCGAAGAAAGTAGAGCAAGACTAGAAGGTGGAGGCCAAAAGGCGAGTTTCAAAATCAGGGAGAGAGGGGGGGAGAGACTTACGAGAGTGCCGTAAAAGAATGCATTGTAAGTTTCGGGGAGAGTTGGCTCTGCCGTTTTTGCGTCCATTCCCGCTGCCATTGATACCAAACTTGTGTATGTAGAAATGGTAAGCTTCCTCTTGATATTGCCTATCTACTTGCTTCTCGGTAGAGTGAATGTGGAGATATTAAGACGAAGATAAGTGACAGAGATGCGACGATGGAAAGAATGAAAAGAAGAATCAAAAATATCTTGCAATATCCTACCGAACTTATAGGAAATAAACTGAAGTCAGCTACCTTATATTAACGAAGTTATACTTCATGCAATCATTCTTTATATGGAGGGGTAGTATCTACGCCCCGACGATTAGACAGGTCTCCATCACAGTGTGTTACTCACTGATAAAGAAAGATAAGAAATTTGTATTAGTCATCGCATATATGACAGCCTCCGCTAATCCTTTCAGAGACTAGCTAGACACACCAGCGAAATTCTCCGGGCTTCGTTATTAATTTTACGATCAACGGTTTGATGATTCATCATTGATCCATATCAGATCTCAATGCATTTTCATCATCGTGAGTACCAACGATAATATTGAGCATCATCTAGAACTGAAGGAACCTTTGAATTCACCAAGTTTCATTGCTATTTTGACATTCTAGATTCTTCAGTGGTTTCATCGATGAACACATATACCTCAAGTGATGATCTCTTTACCTATTTTGCGCCGAGAATTTGCTAGGAAAGAACTAGAGAGCTCTGGAGTCACGTCAGACGTTGAGCTAAAGTCTTAGTTGGCCATCACTTCTCTATTCGTTCCCTTTTTCACTATTCTTTAGCTTTCCAAAGACTTTGAAGAGTCATCCATCTGATAGTTCGATAGATGTCGTTATTTTGAGCAAGAACGTTCTATGCTAGTATCCTGCTATAAGAGTTTTGATAGGAAAATAACAGAATTCATCCCGTAACCAATCTACTACCTATGAAGCTACATACATCTTAGTTTCAATAGTAGATAGTTCACTGGAAGTATGGCTAAACTTTAAGGAAGGTGATGTTATGACAAGTGGTTGATCCTTTTCTTTTTATTTCCCAAAGCAAAATATACATATATAAAGCCTTGTCTACGTACATGTTTAACTCTTCTTCCTTCTCATACGCAAACTCTTACACACACATACCAGATAGTCAACTCCGAGATGTTGTTATCAACCCTCATCAGCGCGACTGGTCTTGCAGCCCTCGTGGGCCCAAGTCAGGCAGTTGCTTCCCATAACTCATTTCCTTCCAATCAAGCTTCAGTCGAATTTTCCGAAGAGAATCAAATGCTTTTTGGTCATTATCAAACCATAACTCACCTTTTGAGCAATCTTCATGGAAGAATCGGCATTAACGATGACGCCACAACAAATTTTCAACTTGGTAGACAAGAGCCACATTATATCGACCCTAAGGACCTCAAACTCGTACCAGTACATGATCTCGAGGAATATAACGAGGCTGATTGGGTAAGAATCAATGAACAAGAGATCGTTCTGCAGTGTGGAAGTGTCAATACTATGAATACTGGAGAAGATTGGGCTCTTATGCAACGCTGCACCAATGAAGAAGTTGCTATTCGTCGATTGATGGCCACCTTCAATGACGAAGGCCATGAATTTGTTGTATCAATCTCTGTCCTTAAAAACGCATCTACAACCCGCGAAGGTACCTACCGATGTATCAAAGATTCTTGTCCAAAAGGTCCATTGGCACTTGCGACTCCTACCCCCGCAGCAATAATTTCAAACCGCGCAGTTGCTGCATCACCCCTTCGCGATGTTTTCGGACAGCCGACTGCAAAACAAAGCGGGATTGGTCTCCCAAAACCGACTGAGACTGCATCACAGACTAGCGACCATCTTCAGGCGCAGGTTACACCACAAATTGGTAGCGTCACAAAATCGACACCTCTTATGACTATCACACGTGCTTCTAATTTAGAAGATTTATCTCTGATATCTCCAACCGAAAACGAGGTTATCCATGCACCAACCAAACAACTTCCAGAGCCGGAAGACCTACCATCTGGTCGTTGGCTCGCCAAAAGAAAAGAAGATCCGTACATCACCGTTCCGAGACCCGAATGCGATCCTCCACCAGATGGTTTCACCCTATCGGGGAAGATCAAAACCTTCACCCGCAATCCACGCAAGACTAAGTATACCACTTTTGAATACTGGGGGTTTACTTCGACTGCGATTATTCCTCCTGATCCTAACCGCCCGCCACCAAAGCCATCTGTCGTATTACCAACTTGGGTAACAAATTCATTTTTCCAAACATGGTCTTGCCGCAAAGTCTGGATGGATTATTACAACATGGATTATGTTCAGAAAAGGGATATTGTAGAGAGAGTTTTGGGGGACTTGCAAGTTGCTGCTCGTAAGTAATAGGAAGATGTGGGTTAAAAGGAGTACTTAGAAAAGAGGAATTGGGAATGGGTTCACAAAGGCATCTCTTTGGGTGTCAATGGATTAAGGGAATAAAATTGATCAAGGGACTTGGGTGGAGTTAGGATCTGGAGATAGGTCTATATGCAAAAGGCTGCAAAGTATGGTAGTACCCGGGTCACGATTGTACAATACTTCAGACTTTTATAGATAATAGAATAATTCCACAAGTCTGCTGTTCCAAGTTGCTAGCACTTTGATGCAGTATGAAGTTATATAATAATACACGGTGGCTAGCCTGACAGGATGTTTTTGACACTTCCTTTGATAACAATTCATCAAATTCCTCGACAACAAAAACATCGAGCAATGCTCAATATAATACAAGGAAAAGTGCCACCATCTTTGTATGACCTCGTAGAATTCTTTGACGAATCCTTTGATCAACAACAATCACGGCTCAACTGTAATCTGTAAGCTGCATGTCTTGCATAGTACATATTTACGATGGCAGGATATATTGAAGCAATTGTGTAAATTAAATGACGTTTTCTGTGACCTGACATACGAGATTATTTGGCAAGGTATCTAGAATGTAGATGTATTTCAAAATGATTCTCCAAGAATCTTATAAGTTTACTCTTGTTCGTTGGCTTACATTGCATCGAAATCACCAATTGTATCAGGTTTTAGTGCCGTATTTCGTAATTCTTTAGTGTCATTTGATCGCCCTCATCACATCCCACCGAAAGAAAAAATAGTAGCCCCGCCATTCATCAAATCAGCCAGCCTTACAATACCGACATGATATAAAATCAACGATCCATCTCGAAATTACAATACAACCAGAATTAAACTCATCAATTTAACGACAGATTCAAATAATCGCATTTGATAGAGCATCTGCGTAACAATAATCACAACAAAATGGAGAAAATCACAGAAAAGATCGCGGCATTGCCCCCAGACACCAATTACTTCTCCCTCGAATTCTTTCCACCAAAGACTTCAATGGGTTCCTCGAATCTACGTGCTCGTCTAGATAGAATGTCTAGAGCATTAAGACCTTTATTTGTCACTGTTACATGGGGTGCCGGTGGATCTACTGCAACCAAGTCTTTAGAACTTGCAGAGTTATGTCAAAGGGATTTGGGCCTCACAACGTGTCTACATTTGACTTGCACAAACATGAGTCGAGCATTGGTGGATCAAGCATTGGAAGATGCAAAGGCATTGGGAATTAGAAACATATTGGCTTTGAGGGGCGATCCCCCTAGAAGTGAGGAATATCGCGCCATTGACGAGAAGAATGGTGATACACCTGCCATGGATTGGGAGTTCGAGTGGGCAATCGATTTGGTACGATATATCAGAAAACAATACGGCGATTACTTTTGTGTGGGAGTGGCGGCATACCCAGAAGGACATGCGGACGAAGGACATCCAGAGGGTCAAAGCCTTGAACATGATCTGCCATACTTGGTGGAGAAGGTTCAAGCGGGAGCGGATTTCATCATGACTCAATTATTCTTCGATGTCGACGCATACGATGGATTTGAACAAAAGCTACGAGATCACCCAAGTGGCGCATTTAAGAATATCCCTATCATACCTGGGATGATGCCAATTCAAAGTTATCAAATGATCAAGCGAACCACGAAACTCAGCCACGCGAAATTACCCTCAACTATTATAACAAGATTGGATGCGGTTCGAGGAGATGATGAGATGGTTAAAAAAGTAGGAGTGGATATTTTGAGCGAAATGGTCGAACATTTGAAGAGCACAAAATCTCAGTACTCGGGTCCTAGAGGTTTTCATTTCTACACCCTCAATTTGGAGAAGGCAGTATCGTTCATTTTGGAACGAACAGAGCTTATTCCAAACGCCGAAACAGTTGCTGCTTTGGAGCCAGAATATGTCCCTACTATTCCAGATATTGCAGATTTAATGTCTATCCATAGTGGTTCTCACAAACGTAGCTCCAGACGTCGATCATCTGTTGGATCTGATCCTTACAATCGCATCATAATTACTGCACCTCAAACCTCCAATCCTAGTTTTGAAGCCACAGCACAAGAAGCTGGTATTCCGGCTGAAGCTGTCAACTCTCGAGCCAACACGCTTGCAATTAGTGAAGGAGAAGGTAGTCTTGGTCGAGAGGCCACATGGGATGACTTTCCTAACGGTCGCTGGGGTGATGCTCGTTCTCCTGCTTATGGCGAGATTGATGGATACGGTGTTTCACTTCACATGTCTATTAATCAAGCTATCAAGCTTTGGGGTCATCCAAGTTCCAGAGCTGATATCACGGACATCTTCATTCGTCATCTAGAAGGTCAACTCACCGCCATTCCTTGGAGTGAGGAAGGTCTCAATGAAGAAACCAACTCTATCAAAAAGCAACTCCTCAGTCTCAACAAGAAGGGTTGGTGGACTGTAGCTTCCCAACCTGCTGTTAACGGCCTCAAATCCTCAGACTCAATTTTTGGATGGGGACCTAAGAATGGATTCGTATTCCAAAAAGCATTCGTAGAACTCTTCCTTCCAACAGCTGATTGGAAAACTCTACATGCTAAACTCACATCCCCTGAACTCCGCGACACAGTCTCTTTCTACGCCTCAAATGCTAAAGGAGATTTCATCTCCAGTGACGAAGCAGTCGGAAGCACAAATGCAGTTACATGGGGTGCATTCCCTGGCAAAGAGATTATTACACCAACGATTATTGAGGAGGTTAGTTTCAGGGCATGGGCGGAAGAATCGTTTGGTATCTGGGGAGAGTGGGCAAGAGTTTATGGAAAGGATAGTCAAACGAGGAAGATTATTGATGGGATTAAGGAGGATGTTTGGTTGGTTAATGTTATTCACCATGCTTATGTGGAGGGAGAGGGATTGTGGGATGTTCTTTTGAATTAGAGGAGCTAGTAGCTTGAGATGGGAATCGTATCAGGATGGACATTGAATGCGATGGCATGGCTGCTTGGATTTGGATGCATCTTGTGGATTTGAATGAATTAGTCGGATGCATGATTGGTGGGAGGGATTAGTCATAGGTGTTGGGCGTATAGGAGAATTACAAGATTGAGTATTGTTTGATTTCTCGAGCATATGTTTTTCTCAAGATGTCCCAATTTCTTTTTGTTCCACCATCATTATTAACTTTGAGTTTATTGGGAAACTATTTTCTTCTATCTTTTCGAATATTTGCATTGAAAGGATTTGCTTTTGCATATTTATATATCCTCGGTTAATCCTCATCCATCAACTTTGATAACTTACCTAGATACTTATACGCATTTCACTCAAGGAATCACAATACATATTATATCACACCTCACTCATACCTCACATTCACATTCATACACAATCAACACACATCTCACATCTCACACCTCACACCTCACACCCAAAACCTAGGATCTACAGTAAAACTGCAAAGGTAATAAAAACTCGCAAAACTTTTATTCATTCTGTACCATCGTTAACCTTAATTAATCCTCATAATTCCTGATTTGGAAGAAATGAAACCATTTGTCGTGTGTCTGTATCTGTCTGCCATCTATCCGTCCACTCAACCTCAAAATCATCTTTCCTGAGAATTCAAGATGAGATGAAGTGAATGAATCAAATCGTGATATCCCTCCTTAAAGAATCGAGAGAGAAAAATCACCACTATCACCATTCTCAAGTAAATGAGTAATCGACTGACTGGCGAACTGACTATCCAGACCGGAATGAATGAATGAAGAGATATGAACCATCTGAAGCGAACCAAGGAAATGAAAAGAAATCGAATCGAATTGAATTGAATCGAAGTGTAGAGAACTCGCAACCTGTTGTGTCCTATCCTATCGTAACCTATCGTATCATGTCGTATCCTGTCGTATCGCGTTGAATTGCACCCCCCATGCGAGAAATCAAGACGAGTCGAAGCAAGCTGAATCCAGCGAGTGTTCTCGAGCATTCTAATAACCAACATTTCATTTCCCTCTCTCGAGAGTTCATCGGGTTGTCGTTGTGAGCGTCGGAGAAAGAGAAAGTGAAATCTCGACGTGTCGAAATAAGAGGAGCGAAATCTCTGCTGTGGAAATGCAATAGCAAACTAGGTGAGGAAGGTAATCAAGTCGACGAAGGAAACTGCAAAAGAAAAAATTGTAAATCGAAAGTCGAAAGTCGAAAGCGTGATAAGATGAGTTCCTCCCAGTCATAGTCATGAAGTATTTGCGTGAAGAATAGGCGAGGAAATGAAAATGTCGAGAATTGGAGTAGAGCTGGGACGATGAAAAAGGTTGTCGTATCCTAGAAACGAAAGTAAAGCATCCAGGATCCCGATTCTCGCTGCGTGAACTTGTGATCGCTGTGTCGTCATCGCGCCATTCAATACTCCATGCCATTCATAAAATCCCTCCCAAATTCCGAAAATCTAAGACTCATCGTCGTAGAAAACATCTTCCTCCTCAACATCATCACCTCTATTTCCATGAACAAGACCATGGCCATTTCCACCCCCAAATCCACCACCACCAAGCATATCCTCATCACCATCTGCAGCGCGGCCAAAATCATAAGCACTGATATCCTCATCCTTGATAATAAGATCATCGTCTCCCTCGTCATCGGAATCAACATAGCTCTTAATGTTAGTCTTAGCAGCACGGCTGGGAGTCGCGGGTTTCTTTTCGACGCGGCCGACTTTGACTTTATTGAGATTTTCCTTCTTGACTGGAGAGCCCTTCTTGGATGGGGTAGCCATTTCCATGTCACTATCGTCGTCTCCCTCCTCGTTGCTGGATGCAGCGGCCTTCTTGACGGATTTCTTGGGGGTGCGCTGAGCACGAGCCTTTTTGGGTGTTGCACCTAGGGAATCATTAGTACCGGGTGGAGAGTTGAGATCCCAAGGGGGTTCTTTGCGCATTCTGTTTTTAATGTTAGTTCTTTTATTATCATTGAAGATTGAACCGGGGGAATAAATACCTTTCCATGCGCATGGATACAGCCTTACCTGTAACACCATCACCAAATTTCTCGGCGGTGGCTGAAAGATGTTAGTGAGATATTCCTTCAAGGGATGGGTGGTAGTGATGAATCGACGATGACAAAATGAGATATGAAGGCGTAGATGTGTAAAATCAACATGTGGGTGGAGGGGCTTAGGAATAGCAAGAACCATTCTTAGCAGCAGCTTTGATGGGTCGAAATCGATGTTCCAGGGCAGATGTGGTGGTACCATCATCCAACCATTTTGCCATTGCTATGATGTATATTAATATCTAATCTGAGTTTTCGAAACTAGAGAAAGGTATGTGCTAGTGACGAGATGAAATTCAGGATAGGGTAAGGGGGAAATTCTCGCGTTTGATGGCACCAATATTGAGGCTTTGTGGATCAATTCCAGCCTTGAAAGCTTCGCGCTGGCGATGTGCATTGGCTTTTAAAGCTCGAAACCGAAATTCAATTCCGCCTTTTGTAGAGTCTTTGCCGAACATATTGCTTATTTCTAGATGATGGAAGAGATTAATGATGTGGTTTTCATGTCATTTTTTAGAAGGCCAAAGAGTAACGCGAAAGTCTAGGAGAACAATAGTGCTTTCAAAGAACACTCGCCCTGACTGCTGCGTTTTCTAGGATCTGGATTCAGAGCCACGTCAAACTCCTTGGGATCTTTTCCGTTGAGCACTGCATCTTTTTGGATCTTAGCACCAGCTCTGATGCCGCGGAATTGCCACTTTATAGAGGTGACATCTGTGTCCGAACCGAAGTGCTTCGCCATTTCTGTTGACTAACATTAATATTGAGAACAAAACAATTGTGGAGTGATAGGACATATGCATGTATTTAATGCTCGCAATGGAATATGTAAATCAAGAGACCATTGGAATTGAATGTGATATCCTTGCAGTCTTTGCCAGCAGCTCTCGCATTGCGAATCTGGTCGACATTCTTCTTGATGGTGGTTGCAAATTGGAATTTGATTCCACCAGGAGTAGCATCCGAACCAAAACACTTTTGAACTTCTGGGGCAAAATTAATATGTGCTTGGAGTAAATGTGTGTGTGTGGAGGTGCAAGATGAAATAGATCGAAAACGGTCATTAAAACATGGTAGAACTTCTAACCAGTCTTGCCACCAGTGACAATATCAACCGTTAAAGGATTTTTTCCTGCAGCCAGCATAGCCTTTTGGCGTTTGGCAATGACCTTGTAACGGGTATCGAATTGAAATCGAAGACCGGAAATAGTGCAGTCTCCCATATGTTTGTCCATTTCTGCAACTGATCAGCCAGGGACACCATTTAATAGTGATTGCAGCGAGCTAGGTGATGTTTAATATGGATGGATGGAAAAAGCACAAAATATCAAGATAGATAGAGTTCCTGGCCACCTTTCTCCTTCTTAGAAGGCATCAAATCTTCCAAGTCAACATTCTTAGGATCTTAACCAGCTGTTCGCATCTTGGTTTGGCGACTGCCAAGAACCTTAACACGCTTGCCAATCTGTTGCTTAATGGCTTCGACGGTAACATCGGATCCCATAATTGCAACAATCTCTAATAGTCAAGGTATCAGTGCTGGTCAAGTGTGCTTGAAAGAATGTATGTGCTGTGATGACATGATTCATAAAAGCTGTAAAATAGATGACAGAACTTCTGACCACCTTTTGGGTTGTTCAAGGAGACATCCAAAGGATCTTTACCGGCATCAAAAAAAGCTATTTGACGACGGGAAAGAGCTCTGATGGTTGCATTGTACTGGATCTTGATAGCTGTGGAAGTGACATCCGAACCCATGTACTTGGCAACCTCTGGACTTAAGATCAGTTCTGTGCAAACATAAAGAAAGTGTGACTGATGTGCTGAGAAGATACGGTTATGTCTCACAAAATATGAACAGAGCTTTTTCTAAGAAGGAAAATATCACCAGACTTCTGTCGACTACCCAACTTGTCCAAGCTGGCATCCTTGGGGTCTTTGCCAACAGCACATAAAGCATTTTAACGAGCAGCCAAAACTCTGAGGCTTCGACGGAACTGTGCTTTAACACTAATAGCAGTGACATCTGATCCCATCTTTGCAGCAATCTCTAAGGGGATATCAGTGGAATTCAAAAACAAGGAAAGGTGCTTGTTGCTGTGTCAAGATGTAAGAGCAGTCCCGAAAACATAGACAGAAGTTCCTGACCAGCCTTATATCGGCGAGTACCCAAGTCAGTCAAATCGACATCTTTGCAGTCCTCGCCGGCATCACGCATGGCAATCAAGCGTTCACCAAGAGGTTTGATGGTTTCTCGAAGCTGCGATTGGATGTGACTAGCTGGAGTTGCTGATCCCATAAGCACGGAAATTGCTAATACAGCATTAGTGTAGGCAAAAAGGGACAAATCTGTGCTCTTGTGATATGGAACTTGGAAGACGAGAAAAAACATCAACTCATTCCCACCCTTTCCTTTGCAGGCAATTTCTCCATTCGTATCGCCCACGTTCATGAGGATCGGATCTTCTCCTCTGGCAACGGCAGCATTGATCAGTTTGGCATCGGACTTCAGACGCCTAAATCTGTTGTCAAGTGCAGAGGCAGTGCAATCTCCACCAAAGCGAACGCTGATTGCTATATGAAAATCAATACACAAACGAGGAGAATTGTCCGCGAAAATTTCATTGTGCGTGAACAAAAAAGTGAAGAGCAAGAGCTGATGCTCCATGATGAATGATACCTTTCTTAACGCTGAAATCATTCTCGAGATTGACAGTAGAGGCATTGAGACCTGCATCGACTGCTTTTCGGAGGCTCTCGGCATTACGCTTTATGCCATTCATACCACGCCAAATCTGCTGATAATTTGACTCATCTCCGTAGTACTTGGATATTGCTGGCAACATCAGGGATCAAAGACAAAAGAAAAAAATGGAGAACGATTGAACTTGTGAAGGGCTAAAACTGAGAAGGAGGGTGGATTTTGTAGAAATGTGTTCACTAACCTGCGTAATCGAGTTTTAGACTTGGGTGGGCGGCCACAATGGCGCTGAGGAGGCGAACTATCATCGTGTGAGTATAGATGTAAGAAAAGGGATTGTTTGGACAAACCGGTTGCTTCGTACGACTTCCAATTTGGCATGATTGCGGTGTTGAAAGTTCTGCAGATAGATAGATCAGTATGGTTGTTTGAATTTGGATAGTCGAATAGACAGATGATAGATCGGAGTAGCAGGAGTGTGTAGAAGGTGCAAGAGTAGGAGGTAGAAGAGTATGATTCGAAAAGAAAGAGGAAGTGGGAGAGGAGATGAGAGAAAAAAGGTAACGACGATAAGAATTATCGATAGTGCGTGATCAACAGTGAATTCTGAGTATGCTCCAGTAAAGGTGAACAAGACTGAGAGACTCAAACAGCGCACTTGGTGACAATCATGAGAAGAATGGATTTGTCAAGATTGAGAAGAATAGAATATTGATGGATAGGAACGCTCGAAAATAGAAAGTTATTGTAGTAAGAGAATAATAACTTACTTGGTTTGGTGTTTTGGTGTTTTGTTGTTTTGTGTGGTTGCTGCAGAGAGTGCGCCTTGTGCGATATCAACGACGACGATCTAGAAATCCAAATCAGTATAAGTCAATCATATATCATGATCATTTCTACTCAAGAAAATGATAATAGGGATAGGAAAAATACTCACAGTATTTGAGAATGCTTTGCAATAGATGAAAATAGATGATTGATCAAAGTATTGTTGAAGTTAATGGAGCTTGTAAAAGGTTGTTGTGTGTGTGAGAGAGAAGAGGGATGTGCGAAAATGGGTCGAGATTTAGGACTTTAAATAAGTGAATTCTGAACAGTCAAAGGAAGCGGAAGGAAAGAGTGGCAATGGTAAAATCAAGTTTCAGTAATCTAGAGATCCTGCAAGCCTGATGTTGTCTACTGTTCAAAGTCTGAATAGATTCAAATAATTCAATGTCAAGCCCTTATTTTGTACAGGTCATAACACAGTGAGGAATAAACATTTTTGATTGAGCCAAGTTTCTAATCTATTCCAGACAGCAAGCCCTTCATTTATGAGCCAATTCGACTAATCGAAGATAATGGTTGTAATTGTTCTCTATTCTTCTCTATCCCAATGATACTTCAAATCCATTGAATTCTCCAGATTTTCTTTTCAAGATATTCACAATTGAACATTTCTCCCGCAACAACAGCGGGGTACTCGCACGGACTGAAACCCGATAGATTCTTGATATAGACATATACTGCCTGCAGGAACTTATCCATGAAACTTGGTGTATATTTGTTTTGCTTTTTTCGTTTGTTGCCATCCCGGATACCAGCATCATCTTGTGTGACTTATCACTTTTTTTTCGTTTTTGATTGCATTAGAAGTCTCCTGCCTAATCATTTGTATTCAAAAACAGACAAACAAAAGAATTAGATTCAGCGATCAGGCAATTGCGGTAGTATATTGGAAAGATTCTAAATCAATGGCCCGAAAAAAGATCTCAATATTCCGGGGTGGTCTGATACATTGTTTTGAATACTATCAGATATCTACTCGAGTATTACATTTCGAATAACCATCACAAAATTGGGAAAATATCGAGAAAAAGATTAGAAATAGATAGAACAATTTTTAGAATTAAAAAGTAATAAGGAGAACAAAAATTACTATTCGCAAGCTGATCCAATTGAACAATGACTAATGCCCAGTTGTTTACAAGTAACTGCTGAAGCAGCATTCAGTGGATGTACTTCGCACTTGTTGCGTGGAAAACAACAAACACTCGCTGCATATTGCCTGCAATAATAAATCCACAACATTAATCTCTAAAAACCCCTTTCCGTTGCGCGAGCAGATAACGTATGCATAAAACCAAAAACCCCTCGGCTTCAAACGACCCAGCATGCTGCTGATCAAATGGTCTGCAAAAACCGACGAAGCGGTGTTTTTCCCACCTGCCCCTGGACGAGAGATCCTCGGTCGTATCAATTTTGCCAACGTACCGATCATCTTGATCTTGGATGTATCCTCTTTTTGGGTATGGTGTAGTAGGATGAACCCAATAATCTTAATGCCTTAGCATTTCCTAACATTGTGTTCTACACATCTTCCACGACTGTATTCATTTCCCGAGTAGCCTGTCTCGATTTCTCAAATTCCATCCTCAGAGCAGCAATAGCGTTTCTGGCACAAATTGCAGCATCCCAATTACCTTCTCTCCTAGGTACAATATCTAGCAGCACTTTTACAGCTTTTTTCCGGGTAGATATAACCCCGAACATCGCCGCTGCCATAAGTGATGGTATAATCCCAGCATGAAATACAAATCCCTTCTCAAAACTTGAGTGGGCAGCGACTATTTTGCAAACTTCCACGACCTCTTCAAAGCTGGATTGATAGAAATGAGCTGGAGTATGTGGAAAGAAAGCCGAATGAAAGCTATTACGTGTGGTTAACCAGTGCGCTCTTAACATACGAATACTCATAATGTCGGCATCTTCTTCTCTGGCGCGCGTGGCCAATGGCTCAAAAGCAATATGCCATTGATCGAGTTTGTTTAAGATCTCCTTGAATTCAACCGCTGCTGGAGACCAATCGAGCATTCGATGATTCCATATTGCTGAATCTGATATTTCTTCTTCCGTGGGATCTTCTTCTCCTCGAATAAGTGTTACTGTGCTCATGAGAAAGCTGATGACCTGCCTGCATATTGCCGTGAAATTCGCACGTGCATCATCGATGCATGTAAACCGCGTTGGAATCAGGCTGGGAATATACATTTGAGTTCCATATATGATATCTTGTGCTTGTGCTATCGTGGGATCGATGGCAGATACCAAACCAATATGCGTGCTATGAAACGTGGCAAAAATGACGTCTTCAATTATATTTGGGGCTGGTGATAAGGTTCGATCCGCTACCTGTCGCTTTTCGCGATCTTTCATCCATGCTTGAAGTAAAGTTGCAGCGCTTTGAATTTGAGTTATCGCCGCCATTTGATTACCGTGGAAGTTCTCAAAGGAGAATATAAGTAACGTGGCAAGTAGATTTATTCGAATAGGTATGAGCTTTTTAATTCCTCCAAGAGCTTTACCGTATTCCTGAATGGCAAATCTATAATCATCATTCATCATCATGAGCTGGCCCTGCTTGCGTGCTCTCATGACCCTACTGAGGGCCCCAATTGCACAGACAGTCTGTAGAATGCATGGTTCCTGATGACATGCTTGAAGAATAACGCTGCTCCAAAGTTCAGAATAGAATCCACCAAAAACTTGAGTCGTAACATCACTACAGAAAAACTGAAAATATTGAAAGTGTCTTGGACTTTCGAATGTGATATCGGAGATGCTCTTTATGGGACCATGACTGGGACGTGATTGCCTAATATTGTTCGCGACCTGCTTCGGTAGGATTGTTCTCCTGGTTGCGACTCTAGATTTTGGAATTTCACGTGTTAAATAGCCACACTTTTGAGAAGTGCCTTTATAGAATATTTTACAGCGATTACACTCTGGCTTTCCTTCATCGCATTTAATCCGTCGAGTTCTAGTGCTTGTCAGCCACAGGGGAAAATGATGTAGGCTTGTCAGGGAGGCAGACTTGCATGTTGTACAACCCGAGTGAACTTTTGGCAACCCTCTTCGCTTTTGTAGCGGTATTGATGTTCCTTCTCCTGTACTAAGATCTCTTTTTAGCTGTGGTGGAGGCGTTATAACCAAGAACATTTTCCGGATGTTATGTTGGAAGAAGATTTCGAGATGACTACTAATGCAGCTGTAGAACACCAAGATTCTGACAGGGCTGTTGTGTGCTCAAATGCAACATGACAAAACAGTCCGTCACAACCGAGTATACAGCTGATCCTTACCCCTATCGGAATATATTGAATGCTGAAGGAACTGGTGGGTCATCCAGGCCGGGAAAAAAAGCCGAATTCCCATTCTTGACATCTGAAAGCTTTCAGTATTCCAATTTGAATTTTAAAAAATCAATTAATCTTTCAAAATCCGAAGCTTAACAACACTTCTCAAAATTCGGATTTGGATTTGACATTCAATGGCCTTTGAAGGTATTTGGCGCTCAGCTTTTCTCCAAGTTGCGAGCTAGATTCAGAATTGCACCGTATCGTGAAATACTAAGAGTGTGCCGATAAGGCGATTTAGCAATATGTACTGGGTGCATACTTTTGCAACTTTGTCGGAGCCGCCGTGCATGAGGTCCTTGCGCATTCCATTCCTGGGGGTAAGTCTACCCTGATTCGTGGAATCACTCATGTGAATGACATAGTACCCGCCCAGACCTAATATTCGACTTATTAATATAAGCATCATTCTTTCACACTGACAAAGAAACTTCAGATATATACCGTGGTGTATTGATATATGTAAAGGTAGGAAAAGATGGACATGCTATGGGACAATGTATGTCTCACCAGTCGAGCAGGTCGTTGATCGTCACATTTTATGCAGAACTTTTGAAGAGTTTTCTGATGCCAGTCTCGAGAGATGTTTCGATTGACACACCAGCAGATGATTCTTTTCACGGTTGATTCGGTGGGGAAATTTGCCATATCGAAATTGGACATCCCGACCCGAGACCCACAAGCTGGCTTAGCTGCAGATCCTCGAGACATATCCGGAAATCAACCACTATAAAATGGTTTTGATACTTGAACTGCACGTGAAATGATGAAATTGGAAGATGCCCTCATTGTCCACCCCCAGAACTATTTTATTAAAGTCACTGAGCCCCCGAGCATGGATCAAATTTTCAGTATTCTCGATCGGACGAGAATCTATACCATTCACCTAAGTAAGACGTTTTAAGTTTTTGAACACTTAAATTTTGGCCAATGCTTCCATTAGCGTGCCTAGAATGGTTCAAAGAAAATTCTAGGTTTGAATAATGATATCCTGTTCTAGCCTGGATGGCTGAGGAAGATCGATCGATCGACGTCACTGACAAGCTAAAAGGCCTGGCGTCTTGGCTTCCAGAGTTGGCATAAGGTCATAGAAATTTTTCTAGTCTTGTGCGGGGACAAACGTTCTCTTCTAACTTGATAAAATTGGTATGGAGAGCCTCTGCCGAGTGCTAAATGACGGGAAATGTGGCCCTTTATGATGGCGCCATTGCTCGGCACTGGCTATGAGCCGAGCCTAATCTGTGTGGAGAGCCTCGTCATTGTCCATGATGACTTGAATTGTCTTGCATATGAGACATATCCCACATACATCACAGCACGAATCCTCGTCCTGGAACATTTTGCTCGCCATATATCGCAGTAAGGATCAAAGAAGAAAATCTATCATTCAGCAACAAGACAGTAGCAAATCTCTTCAATCCGAGTGATTCCACCACAGCACAGATTTCGGCTGAATTGAGGGAGTTTAATGATAATGGCAACTCAGGAATCCGAAGATCCAGTTCGAATGCTGGTTCTTGAGACAGATTCGCCACATCCTGATATTAGAGACGAAAAAGGTGGATATAGTGATATTTTGAACGCTCTATTTCAAGATGCTGGAAAAGAACACGATCCACCCTTGAAAATAGAGACAGAGGTGCACTATGTTGTCGATGACCCTGAAAACGGTCATCATGGGCACGTTCCTCAAGTCTCTGATGTTGATCCATCGATCAACGCCATATTAATTACGGGAAGCATGTACGACGCTCATGGAGATGACCCATGGATTCAACAACTGCTGCAACTCTTGCGAGATCTCTGGATTAAACGAAAGGATATGAAGTTCAGTGGTGTTTGTTTCGGTCACCAGATATTATCGCGGGCTTTAGGGGCAAAAGTGGAGCCGGAGCCGTCTGGAAGATGGGAATTGTCACATACGGAGATGGATTTGACGTCTGTGGGCCAGAGATTGTTCCAAACGAAAGAAAAAAAGCTTAGCCTACACCAAATGCATCAAGATCAGGTGACTATTGTACCATCAGCGTCGACAACTGATTTGCTCTCTGAAGATGATAACGTTGAGAATTGGGCCAGTACAGAACATACAAAGATTCAAGGTCTGTATTTGAGGGAGAGACTGTTCACCAGTCAGGGACATCTTGGTTTTGACGAAGATATGGTCCATCTCGAAATTGAAATGCGTGTTGAGAGTGGCGGAATTAAGGATAAGGCTGTTGCAGCGAAGGCGAAAGATACCGCACACTTAAGGCACGATGGATTGGTTGTTGCTGGCGCAATCTTGAGGTTTTTCCATGGAGATGATCGGGACATTCCATGAAGGGATTACCGGCATTATAAGTCAGATTCGATTGAGCGACTTTGTTTTCTGTATTTCACTGGCATTTAGCGCATCAAGAAAAGCCTCATCACATTCACACAACGTGATTTATCTCAGGCCTCCGAAACATGCTGAGCAGAACTTTTTTCTCATGATTTGTCTGTGATGTCAACGGCATGCATCAGCAATAGATAATCCAACGACGGAAAAGCTAAAACTGGCTTTATCTCAGCTGTGTGACAGAAAGATCTTGCTGCCGCTCTCCAAGAAAATCCCCTTCGCGCACTGACGATCAATGGTAAAGTGTCATAACATCAATGGTTGTGAAAACAAGATTTGGGATTTTCCAATATCAAAATAGATCGATATTGGAACGGTGACAATCTTATTAGTGATTCTAGTGGGAGATGTTGAGGTGTGGTACAGCATGCATGCAACCAAAATTAAAATTACATAAGCGTCACATTGCTCTACCCGCTTTCCTCAAAACCCATTCAATCCTTCTCCTGCCACAAATGATTGTGAGAGGTTCATCGTCCAAGTTCTCACGGAATACGTACTATTTCTCTCAAGAAGATGTACCGGTGGTACCATCATCCCCAGCTTCGCACAAAATCAAGGTGTTCAAAATTCCACTCAAGTGATGGAAGCGGCTGAATGTAACGCAAGATTACTTACCCATGTTCCCGCCCCGCGTTTTGGGGAGATTAAGGAATGAAACGACACACTAAGAACTGTTCTGCCGTTGAATACGAAAAATAGCGGAAGGATTCTGGAATCCTACCCAGGCTGCAGAATTCTACAACCGGCATTCAAGGAAGAAGCATAACACATAATGACGATAAGGCTGTGCAAGGCTGAAGAATGTGGAAATGAAGATGACGATCTTACCCAATATACGGCTGGTCGTCGAGAATAAGTGAAGATATAAAAATATAGGAATGGAGCATCGTTATATTCTTTATTCTCATCTTTATTTTTAGTCTCTTATTTTGCACGCATCATTCATTCCATTTCATTTCCATTCAATAGTTCAGAATCTTCAACTATGTCTTTCTCCAAGATTTTTATTGCCTTCACAGGTATCATTGCTGTCGCTTCCAGCAACCCTCTTGTTCCTCGAGCATCAACTGCTTGCTCGACGTCTAGTGGACCTGGTTTCTGTCAGAGTACTTCTAGCTCCTGCTCAGGGGGAAATTACATCGCTGGTGCTTGTCCAGGAGGCGTCGACAATCAATGCTGCGTAGCAACATGTTCCAGCGGAAAGGGTGTATGTCAAGCGACATCCGTCGCCTGCTCTGGTGGTTCTTTCAGTAGCGGTCTTTGTCCCGGACCGGCTGATATTCAGGTATGCCTCTTTCGCATCTACAAAGTTCCATACATTAACAGAATTTAGTGCTGCATCAAGAGTAGCGGCGGTACTACTCCACCATCTACCGGTGCTGGCTCTGTAGGTATCGATATATCTCAGCTCGGCACGCCAGCATTCTTCGAGTGCGCGAAGAAAACCAAAGACGTCGTCGCCATCCGAGGATACCAGCAAGCTTGCGGAACCGGCGGCCAAGTAGACAAGAACTTCGTGGCCTCCTATAAAAATGCCAAAGCCGCCGGTTTCACCCGCATCGACTCCTATATCTTCCCTTGCACCGGTACACCTACCGGCTCCGAGCCCAACTGCAAAAGCGTTGACACCCAGATGGCCGAATACCTCAAAGTAATCTCCGACAACAATATGGACATCCACACTCTCTGGCTCGATATCGAGCCCACATCTGTCTCCAATTCTCCCTGCAATGCTTGGAATCTCGGTGCTGCAGCCAATGAAAAGCTCGCCAAGCAATGGGTCGCAGCAATGAAAGCCACAGGATTAAAATGGGGCATCTATGCAAATGGTAATCAATGGAGCGGTATATTTGCCAGTAGGAGTACAGACATTGGAAGTGATTTGCCTTTGTGGGCTGTGCAACAGGATTATAAAGAGGGTGTAAATACAGTGACTACCTTTATGGGGGGCTGGACAAAGGCGGTTGCTAAGCAGTATAGTCTTGGTATGTATACTTTGATCTCTTTCTCATCCTTCTATCTCCGGTTTGAGATGTGCGCGATTAGATACTGACATGTGCTATAGATACTACCCTATGTGGTCTCGGTGTGGACTTGGACTCCTTTGCGTGAGTATTGGAACTTGGAAACCATGAAGGAGCATCAAAACCATGATAGTTCTTGAAATTGTGGAAATTAATCCTCTTTGTCGGTTTTCATATTTTTATAACAGTTTGAATATCATTTCGTCTGAAGTTATCACACTTGTGACTAACATCGAATTGTTACCGCACGCGTGCATGTTTCTTTGAAAGTGTGCATGTCCCGAGGCGCAGCACCGTCATACAAACGTGGCATATCTTTTGAGTCACAGTCATGCGGACGTTAGACACCTGAGTAAACCTTATTAGCAACTATTTAATTTAGCCTCGCCGATGCTCCTTCCCTGCCATCTTATTATACATGAAAAGCCAAGGGTATTCCCAAATCCAACGCCATGCCAGATCCCATTTGCATTGTGTCATATCGTATCGTCGTATCTGAAAGTAGCATCTATCTATCGATTGATATTCATATCCATCTAAACAATTCCAGCCTCAGTACCTGTTGCGCCTCTATCAGCACTCTTTCTCGCCGGACTATCAAGTTCTTCGAAATCCCTCGCAGCAATCTTCGCATTCTCCAAAGCACAATTGAAGCGTTCCTCTCCGGGTGGAAGGATGGCCGCAAGGTATGTATTGGTTGTAAATTTAACGACAAACATACTGAAATTTGGCATCTTCAATTCAAATAAACTGAACTGTTCGGCGGATTTGGGTGTACCAGTGTAACGAGAGGTACTTTGTTTGAAGTTCTTGATGATATTCGAAAGACGCTCGAATCGATCAGTGGTAGGATTTGCTTCTCCCTCTGGGGAAGTCCAGCTTGAGACAACAAGGAAAGAAGAGCGCTCAAATAGGAGAACTTCTTCAGCTTCAATGATGGTACCAAGTGAAGAGAGATGTCTTTCGATTTCTCCGAGATTAGGAACTAGATCGTGAATGATTTCTGCCCATGCCTTGTAAAGTGATTGATCCCAGATAGATGTTGCGAATGGCACGATGTTGAATGATTCTGATTTAGATCGGACGAGTGAGATTCTCTCATGGAAGATATCCTCACGTTGGTTCGGAAGGACAAGATCCATCTTATGAATCAGGACGTAGATACTTGCGGTTGGTGAGAATTGAGTGAGTGCAGTAATGATCGAGCGATATGTTAAAAGATCACGGTCGAAATCCCGAGATTCAATATCGAAAACGTAAATGAGGACGCCGACACTTGAGAATACATGTTGACGTTGTTGAGATAAGTAATTTTCCATGAACGCATCCTGACTGAATATCTGTTAGCCGCGTTCAAAAGTCTGGAATTGAAAACACAGCAATGCAGACTGTAATGATATGGAACATTCAATATTAATCTGCGAGCAGCATGAGAGACCAATTTGTTATCTTCTAAAGTCTGCCAAAACTCGAATGTAACTTGCGATGACTACCCCGCACCCTATGTTTATGGAAAACTCGAAAACACCATAAAATAAGAACTCACCCTCCACAATCCCATAGATTGAGTGTTAAATTTCCTAGAAATTTGACATGGCTAAGATCGACATCAATTGTAGCTCCCAATCGTCTTGTATCCTTTGCGACATAATTCGAAAAGATAATGCTTCTCATAGAACTCTTTCCGGAACCCGATTTCCCCATCAGCAGAACCTTCTTCTTTCTTGGTTTCTTGGATTCAGATGGAGAAGATACTGCAGAAGCAGCAGACTCCTCTTGTTGTCGATGATTCTCCATTTTTGGCTGAGGTTCAGAATTGGTGGAATTAGAGAGAGATTGGGAGGTTGAAGCTTGAGCTTGAGCTTTTGAACCAGAGGTAAAGCGGTGAAAGTAGTCCATAGTGGAGTTCGGGGAAACTGTTATTCCGAATGGTGGTCCGAGTAAGGTATTTAGAAGTATGAACCAAATTATCTTTCTGTCAAGTAAAAGAAGACTGACAATCCAGAAGTTCTTTGATTCTGGTAGAAATGTTTTCTCAAAGATGACAAGTTTAGGACTAAATCAACCCATTGGAATGACAGGATTCAGTTTTGAGTGAAACTTTTATCCAATCAAATATTAGCCTGCAAACCAACCGAATAATTCCAATATCAACGGGACGTCAAGACAGCATTCTAGCCTCTTCATATTATCCCTTCCTCGTGAGCATGGACTTTCTTAGTGAAAGGCATGTAAAATTCTGGTATTAGATTCTTATCAATACCAGATAACATCAACCGATGTAAAATGAAGCTTGCTCTCTGTCTATCGATACAAGAAACTGTTTATGAAGCTTGCGACTTCGTTATTGTTGAGTGCTATCTTATTAATCCCTCTCTACGGACGTATAATCTCATCTGCCAATGCCGGCTGGTAGGGTTTCAGTCGTGCTATAGGCTTCTATCTTGGCATCAACTCTCGATTGGAGACAATCAACATGGGCAGTTTCTTACACCACGTTGCATATTTACCATCAGGCGACAGGCGGATCAATCTGCCTTACAAGGGATTTACGTAGCCATTGGAATTTCAAAATGTGTGAGCATCCAATTCAGGCCTCGTTTCAAATAAATCTCATTGCTACCTTACCGATTGGGTCATTTATACTGAAGAAATGCTCTGTCCATGATCATTGGGCCGGTTCCATAACAGCTCATTAGATTTGAACCTGCCAAGGGCAATGCAGATAGTATTTCATGGCGGGGTAAATGCAGGGCATACGCAGGGCATAGGTGCGTGCAGATCTTCTTGTATGCGACGTAGGCACGAGTATTTCCGGTCAAAGATCTGGACCGCCAACTGTGTATTGCGTCAGAAAACCCCGAGACTCGAAAATGGACCCCACCGGAGCAATATACCAAGACCACGGGAATGCAATAGATTGGATCTCAGTAAAGCTCTCGCAGTTGCAAGATATGAATTGAATTGTGTCATCTGCAGTCAAGACCACAAGCTAATACTTGAAAGCCCAGGTCAGAAAAGTCAGGCGTCTTGGAATTATCGCCGATGAGAATTTGGATCTCTAAGCTTTGGGGCCGAGAAAGGGGTGTTAAAGATACCGTATTCCTCGAAACTAATGAAGCACTTCAGAGCTTTTTCGCAAGACACACCAACAATAAAGGTTAGCGAATCTGTTAAACCTGCGGAAACCGCAACTCCCAGAACTCAGACTAATCAAGAACTCTCGGCCTCCATCTCTTTGTTAGACCCGAAATTTATTGACTTCTGAGGGCGACTATCCAGACTAATCTCAATGTATCTGCCAGATTAGGATCAAAATAATAGAAGAAAGGTCAGAGCTCAATGGGAGATTCAGATATCCTGGGATGAATTATTGCTTAGACTAGCAAAGTTTCCTCATTCATCTGTTCGGACTCAAAAAATCATCTTTGACTTAGAAAATAGAGAGTATAACGAAATCTAGCATATTTCGTCGCCTCCCCCTGGCTTCTATAGAGCGGGAATGACGAAAACGATGACTGATGAGAGATCTGCGCATTTATGAGATATGCTCGCCGCTGCGAGCATGTAGATTTCGACGCAAGCGCGTGCGAGACGTACCACAGAGAGCAAAGTCCAATAATCCTATTTCTGAGTTGCGGCGTGGTGTAGTTACGTTCTACTTCAGATGCGGATTCCTAGTATCTACATTAGCGGTTAAAATCTGAAGTAAATCCTTTGCCAACCATTATTGTTGGCCTGTTTTCAGAATTCTAGGATTCAGAGCGCCTTTGGAACTAGTCGATCACAGCTTTTGTCCTCTCACTGGTTGTTCATCTATAGACTTTTTGAAATATGATAGAGTGGATGCATACCCAAATTATGAAGTTGACGTGTAACGCCACACTTTGCTTTCCACAAATGTGGCTGGGAATTTTATCCACACCGCAAACTCCTGTCCTCACTTTGAACGATTGATAATTGTTCCTAAACGACAATGCGCCTTATAAACACGTCAACACTATGTCTCGAGGAATTCTACGATGGCTATCTTCCAGCATATGCAATTCTGTCGCACCGATGGGGCAAGAAACGGGTAACATTTCATGAAATTCAAGGTGAGGATTACATGAATGTGGAAGGATTCGCAAAAATCAAAGGGTGTTGCACACAGGCCCTTTTAGATGGTTGGACGTATGTTTGGATCGATAGTTGTTGTATCGATAAAGCGAGTAGTGCAGAACTCTCAGAAGCTATCAACTCAATGTTTCAATGGTATCAAAAGGCAGAAATTTGCTATGCATATTTATGCGATCAAGTAAAGTGAGTATCCATTATCCTATCCAAAGATCTCTTCCAGTCATAAAATCATTACGTCATTCAACATAACCCCAATCCAATTCATGATTTATGGGCTTCGCAATACGCTTTGCTCTTCTCAAAATCCTCATACTCGCAGTAGCACCAAGCGTTAAGACAAGAACATGTATTCCTCGGATTAACCAGTTTAAAAGCTTGCCATCGTAGATATCCTTCCTTCCCAGTGCGAAGATTTTTAACCTTCACTCTGCCCCAACCTCCCTCGCAGGCTTCGAGAAATTTACATCGATCTCCGATTTCAGTCTCGAGAACTGGACCGAAGTCATGATGACAATGCGCATGTTGCTTCACAGCTAAGATGGCTCCGGGTGTCTGTCCCGCGGCTGTCAGGGGGTCGTTCACTTCTGGAAGTGCCTTTGTTGTAAGATTGGTTGTATATAATGGGGAGTTTGGATAATTAGACGTCTGAAGAGGCGAGACTGTCGATGGGTAAGTTTTGGTATAAATATCATCAACCTCTACCAACTCCTCCTCTGTGGAAAGTTTGAAATCCATACCATATAATCCACTCATATCCTGACCGCCATAAACGGGCATCAGTCTTGGTGGACGGCGTGCAGAATATGCTTGCCAAGTTTCGTAGACATATCGGCATCCTCCAACTAAGCAACCGCATTTTCCATCGTACGGAACTAGGAGTAGATCCTCCCAATCGATAGTTCCTGACATACTAGTACGAAGATTCTTGACTTCAACTTGACTGAAATTGTAATATGCCAGAATTTCGACAAAATCACCGACTTGTGCGAGCGGTGAAGAGAAAGCCGTGGCTTTTAATGCTCTCCTGATTGGGAGGATAGCGCCAATTTTCTGGCCTTCAAATGTTGCCGCATCGTGAACTTGAATGGCAGATCTCTCGTCTTGTGTGGTTTTCTTGAATGCTGTTGAAGGTACATAAGTAACATTGGGCGGAGTGTCAAAGGGTGTCATCGGAGGTATACTGTAGTCCATTTTGAAGGTCATGGGAGAAGTCTGCGTGCCTAGATTATTTTCAAACATCTTTCAAATTGCTTTATGCTGTTACTTTCAAGCATCTTTGATGTTAAGTAAGTAGATATGAGCATGAACTATGATCATTTAGTGCACTTCCATTTTCCCTCAAATTCATTACGCTTTAAAGCATAAAGTAGCATGATGTGTCTATCCGAACATTAAAACACGTTTCCAACGCCACAATATTTTATTGGGACGAAATGACTCATGGGCATGGATTGAGCTGGAATACTGTGTTCAGTTCTGGTCGTTCTCGAGCTGCAAGGAGCAGGTTAATAAAACTGGGCTAATCTGATATTCGGCATGTTGCATTTGAAGCCGTGAATGAGTTGGGAGGAATGCAGACCGATAGGTTATCTGGACCTTGTAGATTGCAAAATCCTGCATTCGCAGGTAAGGCTATCAGAAAATGGTCTCAGCCAATATGATTACAAAATCAAGTTATGGCGCAGTCGATGTGGCACACGCGGAAATGAAACTTTTCGAAACTTCTAAATGCTCATATTAAAACAAGACAAAACGCGTGGTTGGTGACCAAGTATAGAATCTGGTATATGCGAGATTTAGGCCTCCCACCAAACGTGCTGCAAATAGCCTGTTCAGCCAATAATTATATTCGAAGTTCCGTTTGGACCTTTGGACTCCGCCCATATGATATGCTTCGTGACGCGTCTGAAATATATTGTTTCGGATATTTAACATGGGCAGTGTCGCCTACGTCACTTCTGTAGCGTCTATAATCCACAACGTAGGCTCCAATCATTCGCAGACCATCCATGACAATTGATCGATGCTCGAGGTTGAGATATCACTCAAGTTGAGAAACGCTGCAAAATTGGCGGGACGGCGCTTAAACATGCGTAGCCTCTCCTGCAAATGCTGACTTTTGCTTCCTTTCTGTGTCAGCCATAAAAGCCCACCATTAAGCTTGGTAATATTGAGACTCCATTGCACAACTACCAAATCTGGCGAAGCAGTGGCGAAGCAATACCTGCGACTTTGAATCGCGGACGACTGCAGCTTATAACGTGCGCGCGGAAACATACATTAAATGTAACTGTAACTACCTAGATTTCCACCAAGCCCCTCTCAACCGGAATTAAAAACCAACACAATGTTTTACTTTGCAACCTAAAGTTTTTATGAGTCGACCAAGTATTCGACAGCTTCGCCTTTCCGTATCTCTCGGCTCCAGGGCCCGAGCCGTGATGCAGCTTTACCGATGCCTAATCTCGTCTGCCGTTTGCACTTTGGGAGTGGCAGTGCACATAAGCCTCGTTGATCCCGTGACTGTCGTGTATTGTCTGGTGTTTTGTTGCATGTCTGAATTTGAGATTATCTCAAATTATTTTGAATCAACTTTCGAGTGAAGACAGGCAGATATTACATCACGTGAGAAGTTTCAAAATCCTTCTCAGAATTCACGCATTCTTTACCCATAAAGTTGGGTCGCAGATAGGGATGGTTTTTGATATTTACAATTTCTATAGGAGATGGATTGTAACCGGAATCAATGATGGGATATTGATATCACGTTTTCAAACTCGTACTACTCATGGGGTGAAGATTTCTCAGTCTCTGAATTATATCTAACAAACACCTAACACGCCTAATACGCCAAAGGAGCCAAACTTGAATACTCCGTCCCATCCGCAGAAATGAATTTCAATATGACAATGAGACAAACAAAAAGTATCTCCCATTCTATCGATCTAAAGCTTGCGCTTGACACTACAGTTCATGGTTAGCCTTCACCCTAGAATGTATATTTCCAATTAGACCATAAGAAAACATACCATCTGCCAATATAATCCCCTCATTCCCAATAAGCGTCCATGGCTTCCTCTTTCCACCACATTTCCTCCTTCTCCTAGGACAAAAATGACATCTGCATTCTGAACAGTCGCCAATCTATGCGCAACAACAATCATGGTTCTCCCCCTCCCGGTCTTTTCGAACACAGCTTGCACACTTCTCTCAGTCTCAGAATCTAGATTAGATGTTGCTTCATCTAACAACAACAATTTTGGATTTCGAATCAAAGCGCGTGCAATAGCAATGCGTTGTTTCTGGCCACCCGATAGTGCGACTCCATGAGCGCCTACGGCAGTATTGTAACCTTCGGGAAGCGAGGATATAAATTCATGGATCTCTGCGTCGCGACAGATTTGATGGAGTACGGTGTCTGATACTTCTTCTTCTTCTGAGACACCCAGGAGAATGTTGTCGCGGATCGAACCTTCAAATAAGGAAGGTTCTTGCGCAACCAACGAGATGAACTTGCGGTATTCTTCAAGAGAGATATCATTGATATTCGTGTCCTGATACATAATTTGACCACTATGGATTTGGTAAAATCGCTCGAGTAGAGATATAATACTTGTTTTGCCGCAACCAGATGGCCCAACGATGGCTGCAAATTGCCCTTTCTCAATAATCATGTCGAGTCCATTGAGCACCGGAACATCACGGGTAGGGTACTTGAAAGAGACATTCTTGAGCTCAATTTTGACTCCGCGAGAGCTTTTCTCCGGATCGTGAGCATCTGCAAAGTCATAAAGCACTGACTCATTATCGGTTTTATCTTCGGGTCTCATGCCATGGATACGATCTGCTGCTGCAAAAGCTTGCGCCACATTTGGTCCGAAACTTAGAGATTGGCCTGCGGTGGTACTACCTTGTACAACAGCTAAGTATACAACTAAGTAATTAAAGGGTGTATACTCATGGTCCGCCAGAAGCTGGCCGCCATACCAGAGAACAAATGCCATGCATAATATAGCGATGCTATCGCTCATTGCGAATATAAAGGTTGAGAATCTAGCTTTCCGGAAAGCTTTCTTGGTATAATTTCGTAAGAGTTTTTCGTATCGTCCACAAATCTCCGATTCGAGAGTTAGAGCTGATACTGTCCGAAACGCACCAATAGATTCAGTAGCGAATTTTGAGCTCTCAGCAAATACTTCGTTGTTCATTTTCTCGAATTGGGTTTCATATCGAAGTCGGAAGAATCCTGCGGCTAGAATGATGGGCATCGTCGTCACCACGGTCAATAGAGTGAGTTTCCATCCAAAATAAAAGGACATTGCCACAGATCCAAATATGTTAAACATAGAGATGAGCACGATTGCCATGTTGATTCCGAGTAACTGCTGAAGTTGAGTAGGATCACTCGCCATTCTAGCTGTCAAACTACCCACAGAGTTCTCCTCTTCATCATAGTATGACACAGGCTTTGAGAGCACGTTCTGAAAGTATTCTTGGCGATATGTAGCTGTGATATTCTGACACTATTGTTAGTCATTGAAGTAGCCAATAACGGATAAAACTTACGAATGTGACCGTATTTGAAGACCATCCGAGGGCATAATAACTGAGACCCACACTGATGGCCAACAACGTAAACATGAAGCACCAGTAATTGGTCTGAACTTGGAGAGCTTGTCCCCATAAATTGAATAGCGATATGAGTTTTGCAAATAGAAATGCATGTAATGGAAATGAAGCACCGGCGCCCAAAGAGCTTAGAAACATTATTGTATACCATACCCATCGTGGCTTTTGTTCCCAAAGAAAAAGTATGAAGCTTCCCACGGGAGTTTTTGGCTTCGCTACAGGGGACCCCATTTCCAAGCTGGACGATGCTTCTGCCACATCAAGACTGATTCTTTCAAATGTTGGTGAGTCTATTTTTCGTTTCTCCGGATCGCTAGGGGTATCGATTTCTTTCTTAGGAAGCTCACCATTTCCCAGCTGTTGAGCATTTGCAAGTGCCCAATATGGACCATTCAAATCCATTAACAGCTGTTCATGAGTTCCCTGTTGTACTACCTGACCTTTCTTCATGACGACGATATTGTCAGCCTTAATGACGGTAGATAGTCGATGCGCTATTGTGATCGTAGTTCGGTTCTTGGAGACTTTGTCCAGTGCAGCTTGAACTATTCTTTCACTTCTGACGTCGATGGCGCTCGTTGCTTCATCAAGAATCAATATCTTTGGCTGCTTAACAATACTTCTTGCAATTGCCAGTCTCTGTCGTTGACCGCCACTGAGTTTTATCCCAGAGTCGCCTACAATTGTTTCATATCCCTATGAAAGTTAGAAGCCTTTTCAAATAGATGAATCATGATTTCATGGCTAGCATTACCTCTGGAAGTCGTTTAATAAATTCATCTGCGAATGCCTCCTTGCAAGCTCGTCTCACTAATTTCCTTTTCTTTTCGTAGGATTCATATTCCCATTTAGTACCTATCAGACCATATTCTACGTTTCTGTAAATAGTAGTATTGAATAAAAATGGTTCTTGCTGAACAAGTCCTATTTGTGACCTCCACCATTTCAGGTCAATCTCATGTAATTTTCGGCCGCCGACAGTGATTGTACCATTTCGGAAGAAAAGTGTCTTGCGATTTATCAGTGGTGATCTTTAGGCATTTTTTTATGTTTTGAAACTTACAATGGCATTATCCGTGAGGTTTCCATCAAGCTCATACCACCTCTCAATCAACCCGACGATGGTACTTTTCCCTGAGCCAGATGCTCCGACAATAGCTGTCAACTTTCCGGCAGGAAATCGAACACTGAGATTGTCAAGCACCTTAACATCATGCCTCAGAGGATAGGCAAAGTTGACATTCTCAAGAACGATATCTTCCCTGGAAGAAACATCTGGCGCCTTGACACCATCCGTTTTCGGCTGTGGAGCATCAATGATACTAAAAAGGATACCCGCAGCACCGGCGGCTTGTGCGGCAGCAGTAATGGGGGCTGCTATACCCCCAATAGACATTACAATAGTCATTATAGACGATAAAACGCTGAAGTTATTGATTAATGTCATATATCAAAGTGAGGAATGGTGATTAATGAGAACGAACATAATTATAGTTGAGACGCTAGCAATTTCGGATTCTAGGTACAATTTGATTGCGAACCAAAATGACATTGCAAAAGTACTATTATGTTTGTAAGTATAAATTCTCATGAGTGTGTGGAGGAGGCTTACGCATGAATTGCAAAAAATACTAATTTCCGGTCAGTATGGATAAAAAAAAACAGGTTTTTGAGGGCATACCAGGAGCTTGCTGAATTGCTACTAAGGGAGACATAAGTAGACCTCGCCGCCGAGATTCTTGTACCCATGCAGCATATCTCTTTGCCATTTTCCCTTCAGCTTCACAGGCGACAACCATCCTGATCGAACTGAAAACTTCACTCGCAATAGAGGATGACACTTGGTCAGCTTCCTCGACCTGCTTCAGCATCTTTACCAATCGCGGAATGGTGTATGAATAAAATGCAATGATAAAAATCAAGCCAATGCTGGTCACAAGCGTGAGCAGCCAATTGAAGTAGAATGCAACTATCAAAGCCGAGAAAATTAAAGAAACGCTTTGAAGAAACATAGAAAGCTTTTCTGAGATACCAAGTTGGAGTATATTAGCAGTAATGGTGATGATGGATGCTGTTTGCCCTGATGGTAAGGTATCAAGCACCGAAATGGGTTGACGAAAGAGGGCATTGAGATACGCTATTCGCATTGATGCGGATATTCGAATGCTCACCATCCGGAATCCCAGCTATAAGAGTGTTAGGAAACTTTCGAGTATCTATATGTGTAAACCACTCACAACAGCGATGTAATCGAGGAGAAGCCTCCCTAAGAACAGGTAGAGCATGTAAATTCTGTACAGTTGCATTAGTATCTACCATCAATCCTCTTCACACATGCTGCTACTCACACATTTTGATCGATAGCTTCAGTGAATACCTCTTTTGTTTCATCCGAGTTGGGATTATAAAACCCACTGAAGTCGCCAACCAGTGAACCTAGAAATACACTCAACACTCCAAACAGTCACCAGACAAACGGTAGTTCATAGTTCTTACCAAAAACAACATTCATGAGAGGTAATGTGATACCAGTGAACACTGAAGCACCACCTGCTGCAAGGAGGAGTAATTTGTCATTACTATTTGTGTAAGAGAATATTCGCTGTGGAGGATTTTAGTCATGTGCAGAAGCCCAGTATGAGGTGAAT